CCCTAACCCTAACCCTAACCCTAACCCTAACCCTAACCCTAACCCTAACCCTAACTCAAGGACTGGGAGACCTTGTGCGAAGCTTATGTTCTCTGTATTGCACTTGAACTCCCTGCAGATGACATCGAGAAGATCAGGGTGTTCTTCAAGACTTTTGTGACCGAGTACGAGGAGCTCTACTACCAGAACAACTTCGATAGACTACATGTCTGCCCTTCGAGCCTGCATATGGTTCTTCACATTGCTGATTGCATCGAGTACTTGGGACCTTGCTGGGTATTCTGGGCATTTGCGATGGAGAGGGTTTGTGGCATGGTTGTGCCTCAAGCCAAGTCGAAATCCGAGTTGAACACCAGTCTTGCCAACTCTGTGCTGTTGGGTGAGCAGCTGAAGCACTTCCAGTACGTGCGACAGACCTCCCCCATGTTCTGCTCCTTTCTGTGGGACCCTGATGTCACTCGATCGTTTGCTATGGAGTGCGAGAATGGCTGGTTTGTTGCTCCCGAGAGGATACTGCACTTGTCTCCACAAGCTCATCGAGATCTCATCCTCTACTTCCACTCTACCATCACTGGAACAGCCCGAACTCTACCAGCATCCGTTGATACAGTACCTCGCAGAGTCTTCGGGTACAAACGCTTCAAGCTGTCAAATGGACGTGACATGCTCGGTTCTGCCTTCAGTCAGAGGAGATCAGATCAGACTCCTGCCTCGAACATCATCCTATACATTCAGGAGACTGAAGGTGTTTACGAAGTCTTCTTTGGTGAGGTGCTGGCCTTTGCAAGACCTGAGTTCAATGGTGAGATACATCCTCTGGCTTACGTATGAGCATACGGGCCTGCCCACCGTCGAAGGAAGAAGTTCTATGTTGCTGATGCCAGACCTTCGGGGAAGCTGTATGAATGGGTGCATGTTGGTGCCATTGAACGATTAGTGGGTAATCTGAGTATGAAGGCATTATCAAGTGAGGCTCGGCTTGGGAGGAAGCCGGTGTGGATCATAGATAGGCAGACTTCTGCTTGGAACAGTACTACTAATCTGATTGCTGACATGTGAGGCCAACAGATCACGAGAGGAGGGCGGAGGAGGTGCTGTAAGTCGCTTCTGGTTATTGTTCTGGTTTTCAGTTTCACCTTTTCAAAAACCTGGATAAAACCAGAACTTTGTCATGGAGATTCCATGAGCCTAACAGCTGCTCATTGAAATTCCAGAAGCGTTCTAACCGTAGGGCACTTTGCGTAGCATTTCATGAACTCTGATGAATAATGTAGTGGATTTTGCATGATACTTCTGTCTGCTTGCTTCGTCTATATCAATATATCCCGCGGAATGTCGAGTATCTTGTCCGGCTATTTCAAGGATTATGTCTGTTACTTGTCAGAAATTGCAGCGCGAGGATCCCCAGGATTTTGGTAATCCACATGACTTTCGTATAGAAATATACCTGGAAAGACAATCCCCAACTATGTAAGGCTCGTGAATTTGCGTCATTTTGACATTTGATGTTGTGTTTACTCCGACTCTTTTCTGGCAATAATCCTCAATTTTACCTGGGATTGCGATTCGTCTTGCCCTGCAGCACTAACGCTCATGTAAACTACCTGATTCTGTACTGGGTAGCATGCACGTTACATGACACCATGGTCAGCATGTAATCAGCATGTAAATTTACGTGACATGTAAACTATGGGAAGATGATGCAAGATGTTTACAACAACAGATTACATCACAGACAGCGTTGTATAATTTACAGACTGATCATAGAATACCATCAAGTGTACCACGTCCATCGCCATCATAGACACAGAAATCCCTTATGGACCCAGCGCTCGTACCCTGTTCGTGATGATTAACCCACCCAAAAGTCATAGATCATGGGCTAAACCCGAATTCTCTTAGGCAAGTGCGTCATCCACGTCAAAACTGCAGCTTCGTCTGGGATTACACATAAACTACATACTACATTCTAGCTTACTACCCTGGGAAAAATTCTAGACTAAAGCGTGGATTACGATACTTGACATTACCATGGATTAAGCCAATTCAAAATATCACGGATTACAATCCCAATAAAATCAGATCACTGTTCAAGAAAAGTCAGAGCGCGATACCTGAGAAAATAGCGTAAATGACACCTATATGTCTTGAAGATGAAGCCGTGCTGTACACACTGTCTGCACATGGAACGCAGATGGGCCTTCTGCTACATATGAACACAATCAACATTACTTAGGGAATGTCCACGACTTGCTTATCGAATTGAGTTCAGGAATTCCCATGAGCGAAAGTCTCACCTTCCATAACATGTTATTTCCACGATCTGCATATGAAGTTTCGGGAACTGAATCCCACAAGCGCTAAGGTCGTAGGGATAGATGATGTCATAAATGCTGTCATATTGTGTCATGTACATGTCATGTGTGTGTAACGGTTTCATAGGGTAAATTTTCCGAAAATCCCTAGGTCCGAACTTGCCCTGCGGACCTGGCGCTCATGGTATTGGATTCTGTAATTTCCATACTAGGAGTTTGGGAATATCCACGTTATCGAACGTGAGACTTTTTGCTCATGGAAAATCTGGAATTGAATTCCAGAAGCGCATCGTATAAATTCCACGAGCGCATGGAAGGGTCCCAGCCAGGTAAACTTGTGATATATATGTTTATCAAGAGCATTTGTTGCTGTAGTAGGGATAGGTATTTCAGTCTGGCTGTCTGGCGGTTCTATGTGTATCAATACTGAGGGTCTATCGGACGACTTTGGGAGTTGTACGTTGATGCCAGATTTGTAGGGTTGCACCATAGAGGTGATCATGATGTACAGGGGCTGTATAAAGGACACAAAGCCTTCCGGACCGCGTACGGATTTAGCTGTCGACATACATTCGTGAATGTTGATTGTGCGGAGCGTCACCTCTTCATACGCATACAGCGCCTTCAAGCGAACGTGTGCCGGATGAGCACGCCAAGGAGAGCCAGATGATCGAACACACTCATGTCAGTCCCCCTTCCTCGTAGATGTCGCCGGAGCTCTTGGCTTAGATTGAGTGCTGCTGAAGAATGCCCGTGGCGCTGCGGGGTATTCTCAAACGACATACAGGAAGTGAGTGAGTTGTCGAGCAGATCTGGCATGGGATCCGGTATTACCTTAAAGCTTGGTCTGATACTGGAAGCATGTACGTTCGATCCAGTTGCGCTTCTTGTACAGTTCTTATTGGTGCCTCTGTGTGGGTAAAGTAACAATTCTTCTTCGTGTAGTTGACATTTTGCAGATGCATATGTCCCACGATTGCAGCAGTGTGGCGGTACGCGGCTGGTGCGATTTCGTGCGCCTGCACCGCGACCGTACTGGTTACCAGTAAGCCGCCGGCTCCTGGAATTTCCATGAGCGCGTGCGCCCTATGATGCGAGTTGTCCAGGATTAAACCCACTCAGTCCTAAAGAAATGTGTAATCCATGTCAAAACCATGGATTAGACAAGGAGCACATGTGGATTATGGAAGTTAGTGTGGTTTACAATCCACCCTAAAAACAACGATGGAAACATGGATTATAGTCCTTGACATTATCATGGATTACGGCCTGGAAAGAAATTCCGCAGTTTATGGCATTATACAGAGACATGACTAGCATACACGACATCATATTTACGTCACAGCTTTCCTATTTGGTTTAGTGTGTGGTATGCGTGGCTATACAGGAATGCGAACATATAAACCAGAGCCCACCAACCACTTGAAAAATTTCCGAAAATCTTCTAAGTCACTACAAACAAAATCAAAGTCAGGTATGATAGATGATACTTCTCTTCAAGTGAGCTTATGCTCACATGTTGAGTTATAGACCTATAAAACCACTACCATGGCCGTCAGGATACTGATAATACACTTCATTTTCTCGCATGTTTGCCCCCATAGTGTTGCGCATTTGCCCCCAATTTATAGCAACTTTCCTGATTTTTCAAGAATCTTACATGATAGAATCATGTATTAAACCCAAAAAACCATGGATTATGCCTGATTATATCAAGCAATGGGTGCGCAAAAGCCTGAGAAAATCAGGTATAATCCATGGTAAAAATCAAGGATTAATCCCACTTTTTGTCCACGATTAGTTTGACATAGGAATATGCTTCTGGAATTCGTTGTGGAATTCATGTCTGGTATATCATGCTTCTGATATTCGACCAGATCAAAGACGAAAATAATTCCAGAAAAAAGTCTTGGAAAATCCATGAGCTTACCCACTGCTCATGGAAATTCCATGAGCGATAGGACCGTAGGGTGTCATTGGACCCCACATTTTTCGGGATTTTGCCTCAAGCGTTCTTTAACTATTTCTGGAAAACGAAACCCCGGAATATGGATCGCTGGCTAAATTCAAAGGTTTCATGTTGGCGGTATCTAGGTAGTATTGTAGGTGCATATATTCGCCAGCAGAGCTTGCCTGTGTGTCGTTGCAAGTAGCTTATATACAGGTATAACGCAAGTATACATGTAACTGCAGACATTGCTCATTGGAAAGCTCCGCGAGCTTAAGTACTCATGGTTTATACAGTCCTGGCGATAAATGAGCACGAAGAGTGATATATTTATGCGATCCCCGATACAATATAGTTGATGATAAAACGTGCATACTGGCTATTCATTATTCCACCGCTTGAAAACGTACATATTCAACCAATGCATCCACAACCTAGATGAGACCATAATCCTCCTTAATCAAGTCTGCAGCCTTTTCGGCCAGCATATATACGGCACCCTGAATGTGCTGGTCGGGTATCACAGGGAAAATAGAAGCGTCTACGATTCTTAAGGCCTGGACACCGTATACACGCAACCTACTGTCAACAACTCCGCCCTGCTCCTCTGGCAGCATCCGAGCTGTACCGCTGGCATGCCACACAGGAATCACGGTTGACTTGATATAGGTCAAGAGTGTCTCATCGTCGGTGATGCTTGCGCCGGGTACGACTTCACCGTTATTCGGACCGAGGGTGTATTGCGAAATGGCAGCTTGACCCAGTATTTCCCTGAGATTCTTGAATGCGTGAAGTGCGATCTGCTGGTCGACTTCGGTGGACAAGTAGTTAAGATTGATAACAGGGGCGTCTTGAATGCTGTCGCTCTGTAGGGTGACGCTGCCTCTGGAAGTCGGTGCAAGCAGTGCGGCAGTCAGAGACATGAAGCTTTCGTTCCTGTAGGGCGGGTACAGAGAGAAAGACGTTGGTAATTGCGATGGATAGTATACACTTTCCCACAAGTATTCGAGATGCGCCTGCTGAGTACGATTCTGCGACTCGTAGATTTCCTGCGCACCTAGAGCTTGCAGTTCGGCTTCGGATAATTGCTGGAATCCGTAATTGGGTCCCACGGTGGATGTCAAAGGTCCAGAATGGTTGGTCGCGTACTCTTTCGCCGCAGCCTGAAGGAGGTCGATACGGTTGTAAAGCTGTGATTCTGAAACATCTACTTCTGTGCGGGCGATTAAACTGAAGTAACAGTGATCCTGTAAGTTGCGACCGATATTTTCATTGACGAGATATGTCTGTAAGCCGAAATCGTCGAGTGTTTCCTGTGGTCCAAGACCGGAAAGAAGCAAAAGTTGGGGTGTTTGGAACACGCCAGCGCTGAGAACAGTTTCTTTTCTTGCAGTGACGTTAACGGTCATGCCAGTGAGCGAATCCATAAAGACAACTCCAGTTGCTGCCACAGTGCCATGGAATTGTTGCTCGAGCAAAATCTGCTGGACCTGAGCGAGGGGTTTGACGGTCAAGTTGGTACGGTTTCTCACGGGCTTGTAATAGCCGTCGTACGAAGAAACTCGACGGTGCAGCGCATCCATGACCATGGGCGCTTCTTTTGTACCAAGAGCGTCTCCAGACATAATGTCGTCGACGATGGAGACATTGATAGCTTGAAGTGCTTCGATGAAGCCGGTAGCAGCCGAGGAGACGTAACTGGGGTATGAGAGAGAGATTGGTCCGTCGGTGGAATAGGCAGTCTCGTTGAACGTTTGGAATGGCGCGACGTCGACCGGAATGAAGGAGGTGCTCTTCCGAAAGTAAGGAAACACAGATTTCCAATCCCAACCTACATTGCCCAGGGATGCCCAGAGATTGTAGATAGTGGCAGACCCCCTGCCGTACAGGAGGCCATTGAGGAGAGTACTCCCCCCAACTCCTCTGCCACGGTGATAGACGATGGTGCGGTTCCCAAGGGATTCCTGCGGTGGCGTAGCGAAGGCCCAGTCCAATTGAGTTCCGAGAACCAGCTGACTTGCCCCCGGTGTAGAGTACGCACCCACAACGTCCTCAGGAAACTGACCCGCTTCGAGGACTAGAATAGTATGACTCTCAATCTCGCTCAACCGGACGGCGAGAGCTAGGCCAGCAGCTCCGCCTGATAGCATTTAGCATACGTTCTTCTCTCAGTTTGAAATTGCTTACCGCCAACGATTACGAAATCATACGCAGCCGCAACACTCAAGCTCGTGCATTCGGCGTACGGAAAGCAGAGACACACGCAAAGAAGAAAGCATCCGTGAAGATAGCGAGAGATAGCCACAGGTAGGCGAGTGTGCAGCGAGGGCATATTTGGAAGTTGCGAGTTCAACAGAGGCTCGAAGGCAACTGCAAAAAGATAATCACGGAGTACGCAGCTGGGTAGCCATTAGTAGGGCCATAGACGGCATTTATATGAGACCGATGCTGATCAGAAATGTATACGTTCGGCCTCAGATAAAGAGATCGGTCGTTTTGGGTATGGGAGGATTGGCAATGAGATATGTGACAGCCGCACACGTTTGCGGCCCGATGCCCCAGTTATAGGTCAACCAACGCGTGCAGCAGCATCGGAGATAGAAATGACCCTATTCGGAGTTATGGCCGAAGATGGTCGTCGTTGTCTAGCTATAAGGGAAGACCACCGCTGTTGCAACGGGTGCATTCATCGTCTACTCTGTTCTATCCCTATCAATTGCGATGGCTAGTTATGCTGCTAGCGGGAAAGGAGGGTGAGAGTTCAGGAGTCACGTTCGATGGAAGACGGGAGATTGGAGGAGACAGTTACCGTACAACTACAAGCGTCAACAACAACCTTGAATCTTTACCAGAGTAGAATCTTTGCTGTCACTTCACGTCGACATCCGCGTCATCTCTGGCTAGCGGCGGCAATTGGCATCCGCGACCGGCACGGAGTACGACAGCCGGCAAGCAGCAGCAGCTCGACTCGACACATCAATTGCAACACCTAACATATGGACTCACCGTTCTTTACGTGTAACAGAAACAATTGGCCGAAGTGTATGCAGTGTGCCTGCTGGAAATGGGGAGACGGGACTGCTTGGAAAGAAGCTGGGGATGATTGGGAGGAGGAAGGTGGACTGTTGAGGTCGAAACGATACGATCGGACCGTATCCGTGAGCCGCCGGAACCGCAAGGTGAGGTATTACGACAATGCAACTTGCTCATGGGATGATGCCGTCGTATGGTTCCCATCCATAAGTTACGAAAACGCATACAGAATACGGAATCGAGACGCATGGCTTCGGTGAAGTGCGGCTGTGTCGCGGTTCTGCCAAGTACGGGTTATCAGATCAAAGCCAATTGTCTTGGCAAGCCGCGGTCAGCCGCAATACGGTACTCAGTATATACATGCAGTTAACGTTGCTGCGGCCGTATACCAAGCTTCGGCACGCGAACACGTGAACGTCGACTGCAAATACAGTGACTGAGCTTTAAAATAAGAATCGGAGGGTTACATGACACTGTCTCAAGACTACGTGCCGAGTATACCAAGGCTACCAAGGCTACCAAGCATAGCAAGCATTGGCGATGACAACGACACGTCGACGACGGCCCTATAGCGAGACGGTCCTCCATTGGCAACGGCAAGTAACATGGCCGTGACACATCGAGCTCGGCGAATCGGTATTTGGCATCGGGCCGAGGGATGCGTGGAGTTGCATGTGGCCAACGGCGGCGCGCAGTAGCCGATCCCTCGCTTATGAATCGTGCGTGACGCTGCAGTCGAAGTTGACTGACCGTGAAGAAGACCGCGTAGGAGAGAGCGCAAAAGACGAGGAAACACCTCAGAGTCGATGAAGATGACGTTTGTGATCGTACTCGTACTCGTCTCCGTATGACTCCGTAGTCAGCGCTCGTAACACAGTGAGTGGCAAGCACCACATGGTCCCTAAATTAGTAATAGATCGGTGCGCGGTTCTCGGGCCGATGTGTGCAGCCGATTGAAGCTTCTGCTTCTGGCGCAAGTCTTGCTGAAAAATACATCCACCCGGTCCGACTCACAAAAAAGGGGAATGGGTCCGAACCCGATTACCCTATAACAATCACTCTTTCTTCCTCTACACCATCGAGTGCTGTGCACCTAGCCATAACAACTTTACACCCTTCTGAATACCCGCATATACGACCGCATTCACATCATAGCATACAACCCCTATCAATCAATGTCAGCCATTCCCGCCGGTCAGGACTATATTCTCGCCGTTCCAGCACCAGTTGGAAAGCTTCATCAGGCGCGTCGTCGCCTTCTTCTCCAAGTTCAGCGCCTTGAATGCTCCTCTGGACGTCCAAGGGCTGTGCCTCTCCTCAACCTCAACGTTCGCCAACGCTCCGGTTCTGACGTCAACGCCGCCGAGGTCGTCTCCACCGATACCAACAAACGTGTTGCTTCTCTTCGTCTCTCCAAAACAGCAAACAAGCGTTGCAGCATTGCTTCTGAAGCCTTGGCTGACAATGGTGGCTGCGTGGAAATGACGCACGGTACCGACAACTGGATCTGGGACGCGTCGCCTCTGCTGTCAAACACCGACAAATCATTCAAGGGGTGGGAGTTTCGAGTCACCCTCCCTGGCCTTCACGGCGCCGACAACACTGCGGTCGTTCGCTGGACACTCGTCAAGAAGGCTCGCCAAGAGCGTCAGCGCATGATGACCGAGTCCGGTGCTTCATCACCCCGCCCCGACACCCCGGCCCGCTGCAACTCTTACCCTCCAGTACGCCCGAGCTTCCAGTCAATGCGTCGTCATTCGTCGGCCGCCACACAGGGCGCTCCTCCGGCCAAATCTGCATACAACTGGAAATTCACCATCGTTCGTCTGCCCGGATCTGCTCACAAGGTTTCTTCGTCCAACATTGCTCAAGCTTACCTCGGTCCTCAAGCCTTACGTGTCTTGGGCCACCCAGCTACGAACATCACGCAGCTGATGGGCGATGAGGTAAAACCTATCATGAGTCAGAGACGTTTCCCACCAGGGCGTGTTGTCGAGTTGATCCTCTCAACTGCTCTATGGGTTGCGATGAAGGAGGGCTATGTGAATGCTACCGTACCACCAGCTCTCCCGCAGTGCGACCCGTGCGCCGAGCAGCAGGCGCAACAGTCGTCTATGCCTCGCTCATCCTCGTCACCACTCTCGCCAACTGGACCGCTTCCTGTACCCAGGTCGCCAAGATCGCTCTCGGGTGAGACTCTGCATGACTCTCATCACTCTGCCATCACCCCGCAGGCCACAGTAGTCAAGGTTGCTCCTCCAATGAAAACTGGACATGGCAAAAAGATGCAGCGCATCTTGACTGTCCTCACGCTTGGAATGATGCACACAAAGAAAAGGCAGATGGCTGGCGCAGCTGTCGCTTGATTGAAAAGGAAAGAAAAAAAAAAAGAGATGGAATTGGATGGAACTTTTGGGTCGGCGTATTATCATTATCGGGTCTTCATGCATTTTCTATTGGATTGAATGGGTATGGCTACGGAGTTTTTGTATTGTGTTTCTTTTTCATCACCGCTGGTCAAGGTCAGGGTCAAAAGCATTCTTATCGCATTGCGTTTTCTGAGGTTAGGGTACGACACTCCTCTCTGCTAAATGAGATTCTCTTATCAACTTGAATATTCCTTTCCTTGTCGAGATCAACACGGATCGTCAACAGTAAAAAGTTAGCTAAACATATATGGTATCCAAATCAGCTGGGCAGTCGCCGACACAATATGCAAAATCCCCAGTAAATCCCAATATCAAATCACACCGACCTCATTACCACTTACATCTCATAGGTAAGGCACTCGACGCACTCTAGGAACCTCCAAATCTGGACGTGAGTTAGCTTACCCGCCCATTCCTTTTCGACTTCCAAAGTTCCCCGGTCGCCTGCCCAGGATAAGACGTTGTTACGCTGCCGCCGAGACATAACTCCCTCAGCATCAAGTTTGCTCAACACCCCCAACCAGAGGGCATGGCTCAGCTTTCCTGGGAGCTTATTAGCAAGCAATATGGCCCGCCCAGCACGCAACAACTCCAAGCTCGCAATCCACAAAGCACTGACAGCAGGTCCTTGATCTCTGATAGCTGATCCTTGAATTTTAGAGCGAAGACGTTCCAAATCAACAGGACCTCCACCTGTAGAACGCTGACTTGTGAAACTCTCCTTGCGTTTGTTCATGCTCAAAGCGGAGGCGGAAGACTCGCTCGTGCGGCGACTCAAAGGCGAACCTGGGCTGTTCGTTCCTCCCGGGTAGCAGGTCATCATGCCGCCGTTCGATCGAAACCTCTCCGCTGCCTCGAGTAGCTTCCACCCGGTGTGCGAGATACCACGGTTTGGAGAGTAGAGGACACCGTAACACTCTGCATCTGCTTCTTCCTCATTGGCAAAGTCCAGACCTTGACTTTCAATCGTCGGCATCAGGTGACTCGGCTTGAGGGGAGGGAGGTGCGGGATAACTTGGTCCGGCACCGGATGAGCTGGGAGGACGTAAGAGAGGTGAAGCGCACCAACGTCGGTAACTTCGTTGTCTGATAAGAGAATGTACGGGATGGATCGCATACCATGAAGCAGACCCATAGACGGTTGTCGCATGATTGACCCCGAAAGCTTACGTGTATAAGTCAAGCTTGACCTCGAGGGCGTGGAATGCGCCGAAAAGGATGTGTTGGGCGACGAAGCTCGACGGTCCCCTGAAATTTCAGGTTCTTCCTCTTCGCTTATTTCTTCATCATCAAGACTTCCGTCATCATCGCTCAAGTCTGCATGAATGCTCGTGCGAGGTAGGATGACAGCAGGTTCGGCCGCGTAAACCCTGCAAAAGACTTCAAAACCTTTATCACCCAGTTCGTTGCTTGAAAGGTCGAGCTTGTGAAGCATGGACTGATCACGGAATGCATTAAGGAAGATCTCGAAACAGGTGATTGAGATGGTCCCCTCCATCGTAATCTTATTCCGTTGAAGCTCCAGTACCTTGAGCGTCTGACTGGAGGAGCGGATGACTGTGAGGCCAGTTGGCGTCTGTTCAAACAAATACTGGATTGATTCTTACCATCAACCAAGTGGACTAAGCCAGCAGCTGTAATGTCGTTCTCTCCCAAATATAGCTCTTCCAATTGAGCTGCTCCCTTCTCAATGGCCTCAACCAGACCTTCGCACACGAACTGGAGTCCTTCGTCACCAAGGTGCATCTTGCTCAGGTTGAGCTCAAGATCTGTAGTGTGCAATCAGCCGTGGGTCTACAATAAAATGATGACGAATGACTCACGAGGATCCCGGATAGGGGTCCTGGAATTGGCCTTCTTCAACAGGTCCTTCTTAACGACCTGGCCCAGTTTGGCACCTGAAATCTTTCGAGCGGTATCTGACAAACGGTCAATTGCCTCCTCGTACATTTCCTAGAGCATTTACGCACAATTGAGCTTCATCTATAGATGGGATGGTTGTCGTCTTGGAGGTCGTCCGCGTCCGTCCCCCCCCCAGAAGTAAGGTTCGAGCTAGAGGTAGCAATCGCGGACCAGGGTGCTGTATCGATTGCGCGCGATAACAACCAGGAAGACAACCACCAGGACAATTGCAATGGCAAGAAGGCCAGCAACGGTCAATCGAAGGCCTTCTTCTACGACTACCTTCACTATTCTGAATGATTCAAGTACTATTTTTGCTGCTGATCCTGTGCTGACCGACGATGACGACGAGAAAAGCGCGAAGGATGGGGGTAATGTACAGTTCCGGAAGACGGCAAGCGTCGGGGACGATGATGCCGATACTATAACGGTTCTATCGAACCAGTTCAGTCAAGCTGGATACCTTTCCGTGGCTGATCAGAGCGATTACACCTCACCCCATGTGCCTTCTTACCCTTCTTTTGATCCACGGCCGGATGGTGCGCATTTATCCCGGTATATGAATTCAACTGACCATGTTGTGACAGGTTCTGAGCAAGAACTCCCTACTTCAGTCACGATCAATACTGGGACACGCCGTGTAAACGTGCCTCTGGTCTTCAGGCCTCCTCGATCACAGCAAATCGCGTACGGCGGCATGCACAACCACCCATTTTACCGCAGAACTATGCAACCTGGTGTTCACCCACCGATCGAACAATGCGTCATGACGTCGAACGGAAACGGTGAAGGTACGCCGAAGCGGAGTTTCCTGGATAACTTTCTGCATTTGTATGTGACCTCGTTTCGTTTATGACCAGAGCTGACTTCTCGTAGCTTCCGTGTATGCTGTTGTTACGAAGTCGTGGAACCAAACCAGCACATGTATTGATGAACTTGGCATGACTCCTGAAGCTGGTTTCTTCTCATCGCAGTATGTATTTTCTATGCTCCGAGCAATCAAGTTCTCCTGTCGTCTGCTCTCGCGCTTGCCTTAACCCCATCAATAATTCAGAACCCCAAACCATGCTAGAAAAACGTACAATCAACGTCAACGCCAAAGTCATACACCACAATGCCCGCCACACTCGAACTACTCATGATTCGTCTTGAATCGAACTGCAAACGGAAGATCTTCGCCTGATGATGATTACCCAACTGCAACGCCGAGCCTTCTCTGGTACTATCAAGATCCCAGATGCGGATTGTCTCATCGTAACTTCCACTCACGATCCTCCGCATTGCCGATGACAGCTGGATGGTACGGACCAAACTGTCGTGACCGCGAAAGGCGCGGAGCTCACTACCGTTCAGGTCAAACATCTTGATGCTCTTATCCGATGATCCAGATACGATGTATTGGCCATCAAACTCGATGCATGCAATTCCGCGCGAGTGGGCAAAGATATCGCGGATGACCTCTCCTGTCTCAAGGTTCCAGACCTTGATAACACGATCACCGGAACCGGATACGATAATGTTGTCCTTGAACTGAACGGCATTAACCGCCGCACTGTGCCCTTGGAGCACCCGAATGCACTCGTAGTTCTCACTCCGCCTGTCCCACACGCGAATCGTGCAGTCCTTTGAACACGACACAATGTACTTGTCGTCAAAATGTAAGTTGAGGACAGATTCCTGGTGTCCTCGCAGAGTCGCCTTTTGGGCGCCAGTGAACATGTCCCAAATGACGATGGTACTGTCTGACGAACCGCTGATGATGATGCCCTCCTTCGCGTCGAACTGCAGACACAGCACCGATCCCTCATGACCAACGAGCTTGCTGTGGTATCGCAATGTCTTCATATCCCAGATGATGATCCTCCTATCGCGACTTCCAGTAACAATCCAATCCTGGTCGAATTGCACGGTATATATGCCCTCCATGTGTCGCTCCTCCTCCGGTCCATCCAACCCGAACTCAAACATCCTGCACTTTCCAATCTTCCAATTACGATCCAGTTCTTCGTGTAGCTGGTATAAGTATTTGTAGTCGAGTCGAATGTCACTGGTTGTCATCCTTGCTCGCTGAGCTGGAGACATATCTGCCCGAGCACAGTACTTTAAAATTCCACCCTCGTCTGCGGTAACGTGCGGATATCGAGCATTTACCTCCTCCTCAAAATGCCGTGCATCTTCCACTGTCGTTGGTGTTGCCGGCCCGCCAGTCTTCAGGTCAACTCCTTTCTGCAGCATGTGCTTGGCTTGGAATAACTCTTGCGCAAGCTTCTCCCATTCTGCAACAGTCGTGTCATTAACAGTCCATCCTTTGCGATGGTAAAGCAGCTTCCACAAAAGAGGTTCCATGGCAATGCGACGCCATGATTTTGATACCAGGCCGCATGATAATAGGGTACGAGCATCGAGAAAGGAGAAGATTATGACGCAGAGTTCTTGAGGGAGGTGCTACGCACATGTCAGCATTGAATGCGCCGAAAATGCGAGAACAACTCACCGATGAAAAGTCCTTGTGTAAATATGGATATAATCTATCCTGTACGTTGGTAATCTTACCCAATGGCAAACTCAGCAGCAGCCTAAATGCGAACTCCTCTCGCTCCTCCTCTGGCAGGTTGAACGGCCATATGTTCCGCTCAATCTCGTCGTGCACGGGTATATGGTTGGCTGAATACTCCCCGAGGGGAATGCCATGATCTGACATCCCAATCGTTCTCCTGTATGATTCTTGGTGTTTTCTTCGATATGCCGTGCGTCATCAGCCGTTGTGGCGGGTGGGTGTATCTGCCTGGGCAATGCGCCGCAAGGAAGGGGTCAAGAGCGGTGATATGGAAGGGAGGTGAAGTGAACATCGAGGGATGACGGCCATTTACATTGTGCTATCGTGACAGAAACGGGAACACTCGGCTCTCGTCTTCTCAGCTCCGGTGTGGCGCGGGGCCCCCGGCTGACCTCTGGGTACACCTGTGCATCCATGTTGGGGTAACCTTAATTGAACGACCGTAATAAAATATCGGGCACCCACCCAATTGCTGGAGGCTCATAGACTCGTTCAACAATGGGGGAATACAAGTGGAATTCGCCGAGAGCTATCTTCATCTACGATACTGTCCTATGGTGTCTGTCAGTCCTCGTTGACCTCTTCTTCCGTCAAGTGCAAACACGCGGTTCCTTCAAAGTCCCTCGACGTGGTCCGATCATCTTCGTCGCAGCGCCTCATGCCAATCAATTCGTCGACCCACTCCTTCTCATGCGACAAGTTCGTCTGGAAGCATCGCGTAGAGTCAACTTCTTGGTCGCGGCCAAGTCGATGCAGCGCAAGTTCATCGGAGCCGTGTCTAGGGCGGTAGGAGGAATTCCGGTCGGGCGTGCTCAAGATCTCGCGAAGCCTGCTACTGGAACAATTCGCATGCCCAACCTGTCGCAGCCGAACATGTTTGAAGGTATTGGTACCAAGTTCACTGAGGAGTTGAAGCCAGGATACACGTTTTTCCTGCCCCAAGACGGTGGTTCGGCTGAAGTGGTCTCGATTGAGTCGGATACGGAATGTACGTTGAAGCGTGATTTCAAGGATGAGAAGGGATTACAGCTGTTGGCGAAGAAGGAGGGCACGAAGTACAAGGTCGCACCAAAGGTGGATCAGACAGAGGTGTATAATGCGGTGTTTGACAGACTGAACGAGGGTGGATGTGTTGGAATCTTTCCAGAGGGAGGAAGTCACGATAGGTCAGACTTGTTGCCGTTGAAAGCTGGTGTCGCGATCATGGCCCTTGGCGCCATTGCGAAGAACCCTGGTTGTGATGTCAAGATCATTCCTTGTGGTATGAACTACTTCCACGCGCACAAGTTCCGCTCCAGGGCTGTGATTGAATTTGGTTCGCCATTGAGTGTTGACCCTGAGCTCGTCGAGATGTACAAGACCGGAGACAAGCGTGAAGCTGTCAAGAAGCTCCTGGATCAGATCTACAATGCTCTGCAGGCCGTCACTGTTCTGAGTCCCGACTATGATACGCTCATGGTCGTTCAAGCTGCTCGCCGTCTTTACAAGCCGTCGCACAAGAAGCTTCCTCTCGCCAAGGTCGTCGACCTCAACCGTCGCTTCATTGCCGGCTACACTCACTTCAAGGATGATCCCCGTGTTCAGCATCTTCGCAAGGGTGTTCTCGATTACAACCGTCAGCTTTCTCTTCTCGGTATCCGTGATCATCAAGTCCAAAACGCTCGGTATCATTTTCTCGTCGTCCTGTGCATGATGATCTACCGCATTATCAAGCTCATCGTCCTTACTGTTGGTGCTTTGCCAGGCTTCGTTCTCTTCGCTCCCGTCTTCATCGCCACCAAGGTCATCTCCAAGAAGAAGGCCAAGGAGGCATTGGAGGCTTCGACTGTCAAGATTCAGGGTCGCGATGTTTTGGCTACTTGGAAGTTGTTGGTATCGTTGGGACTTGCACCCATCCTCTACACGTGGTACTCTTTCTTGGCAACCTACATCACCTACAAGTATGACCTTCTACCAGCCTTCCTCAGCAGGTTCATCTGGCTGGTTCCTGTCATCTCGATGTTCGTCTTGCCTAACGTTTCTTACGCTTCGCTTCGATTCGGTGAAAGTGGTATGGACATCTTCAAGTCTCTTCGCCCTCTTTTCCTTTTACTGCTCCCAGGATCAGCGAATACGGTCAATCGTCTTCGTGAACGTCGTGAGGCGCTTGCATTTGAGTTGACCGAGCTGATCAACACGCTCGGTCCCGAGATTTTCCCCGACTTCAACGCCAACAGGATTGTATCCACTCCTGACCTTGACTACCGTTCTAGCGAATTCCGTGCTCGTTCCCGTTCGAGGTCAAGGAGCAGGTCTGGTGATGAATCCCCCTCCTCCACACCAGGCAGCCCAGTCACCCGTAACGCCTCTTTCGCCAACCTTGGCGATGTACCGCTCTTCCCTACCATTCCTCGTCCTCGCTCAAGATCAAGGGGGCTTTCTGGAGGTCTCGGCAAAATGAGCCAGATCATCACGACCAGCGACGACAAGGGTATCGGAGAGCAGAACGGAGAAACCATCGCAGACATCGCCAAGAAAATTCGCGGAGCATTCTCCGAAAGAAGAAGGAAGAGTAGACGAGCCAACTCATTCATTGAAGAGGCTGAAAGCCGTGGCTCTGAATGGAGCGGGGTCACGAGTGGAGCCGAAACTCCGGCTGATGAGGCGAAAAAGACCATCTGAGTGGACAACAGAGGGCTTCCCATCGATACGATAGGTATGCCAACAGCTTTCACTTTAGCTCGAATAGCTACCAACATAATGTAATAACTGAAACTGAATCATTCTTCCCTGTCTCCCCACGACATACGTATGAACCCGAGCACGGCTGCGGCTTATCGATAAGACACTTGCCACCGTAGGAAGTTCAAGAACTCCGGACTCGCTGGCCAAAAGCTGTGATCCAACAAACCGTCAATTCGTTGTCGTTACACTTCATTACAACATGAAGAGAACTTGTCTTTCACGGATCGCTCACGCAACTGCTGTTGGCCCGGCGTTGAGGAGACCGTACGCTTTGCGCCCTCGGACGTTCGCCACCACCCAGTTACGGCCGAAAGAGAAGGATGAAGAGGAGCCAAGTGCTCTCCAAAGGCGATTCGAAGCTTTAGCAGAGACAGCTGCGCCTACGAAACTTGATCCAATGGCTGGTCCTGCAGCATATCAGCCTGTCGACTCTCCGGACTCCTCGAAGCCTGCGGATGAGCTCGAGTCGGGCTTGACAAAAGAGGATCTTGCGCGCTTAGAGCAACTGGTACTCGATGCAAGCTTCAAAAATGAACACGCCGGTGCTTTTGCGCAGGTCACTATTCCCTCATCGGCGGATAAGCTTACCCGACAAATCGCTGCCGACAGGCCATGGACCGGGGAGGAGTCCCAAGCGGATGCAGTACTCCGAATGCTGACCGATTCTCATAAACCATTACGAATGCGGGGGGTTGCTCCAAAGATTCAGGACCCTACGTTTGTTGGTGGGAGAGTTGGGTCTGAGCCGTTGCAGCCTCCTACGGGCATGTCGAAAAGGAAGACAGGTCATAGGTTGCTGGCGGCAAAAGAAGGCGTACTCGAGTACACCCTTGACAAGGAAACGGGTACGGACGCCAGGAAGAAAAAGCGGGGCCCTGGACATTCTTCGTTGGCAGAGAAGTTGTCGCCTGGCTTTGAGGGAGGAGCCGCTGCTTCTATTGGGGGTTTACGAACTTTGGCAGATTCCAGGATTGAGGCTGCCATCGCCCGTGGTGAGTTTGCAAAACTACCTGGACGTGGAAAACCGGCTGTTCATGACAACCTTGCCAGCTCGCCCTTCATCGACAATACCGAGTACTTTTTGAACCGCATTATCCAACGGCAGGGTGCTCTGCCGCCGTGGATTGAAGCGCAAGTCGAGTTAGAGGAAAGGATTGAACAATTCAGGGCTGGATTGAGAGATGAGTGGCAGAGACGAGTCGTTAGGCAGATTGCATTCCATGGTAAGAGCGTGGACGAGCAGGTGGCAAGAGCCGAAGCGTATGCCGAGTCAGAGCGCCTGTTGGAAGACATTGAACACAAGATAGACCAAGGGGCTATCGACCCTAGGGCTGACAAGGTGTATCGCGATCCGGAGTGGCTGAAGCAGGAGCACAGGTATCATACGCTGAGTTTGCAGGAGATCAACAGCAAGACTCGCTCCTATAACGCACAGGCCCCGTACTCTGCGCGTCGCGGATACCTGGCGCTGGAGAAGGAGTTGTTGGCATGTTACCGTGACGTTGCACCCACGATTGGTCCCGAGCTCAGGGAGAGGGCCAAGCATGGCTGGGTTTCGGCTGAAGAAAGACAAGAGAGGAAGGTGAAGGAGACCCTGGGTGAAGGTGGATTGAAAGATCTCTTCGGTGGCGAAATTATTCATGTCGAGAAAAATGACGTCTACGGGCTACGTGAATGGTGGGGGGATATGAAGAAGTCTTGGTTTTCCAAGAAGACAGAGCAGTCGAGCTGAGGACAATGTTCCATGGCCTGCGAATTTGTGCATCAACACAGCCGGTGCATTCCTTCGTATTTACTTTTCATACCACATAGTCATATATAGAATGGTATCATGGTACTCAAATGTATTCTCTCATTCTTGCACGTGAGGGGGTCGGCGTGACGGTCCCAACCCAACAAGAACGCCGCCACGGCTACAACCTCGACCTCCACCACCAGCACCACCAGCACCACCACATCACTAACCCATAGCGAAACGACATGACCCTATCAAAAGAAGCACGTAAGAAATATGAACAGAAAACTGACCGTAAAGAGTACAAGAACGAGTGGAAAAAGCAGATGCGGGAAAAGAAGCGGGTAACGGGGGCAATATCGACAACGAAGGAGAGGCTACAGAGTAAGGATCGGAGTAGAAGGTATCGGGAGAATAAGAAGAAGAAGATGGCGGCTGCTGCGGCGTTGCTTGACTGTGAGTTGGCTCTCAGGTGTTGTTCGGGAGAGTAGCTGACGATACCGCCAGTGTTCGCACCTTCACCGGAAGGCAGTCAAGAACCGGAAGATAGATCAAATCCGGACGACGATGCAGCTGAAGCCACCGCGGAAACTGAAAAAAGCACTGTCGACGACGACGAAAAGGAATCCGCGGACAAATCTTCAGAAGTTTCCACCACGTTTCATCTTGATCCGGCTTTGTTAAACCTACCACCACCGACGACAAACATTTTGATTGAGCCAAGCGAGTTTGTTGAATTGTCACCGCCAGAAATGCCGCAACATAGCGATATGGAGCCGATTCTGGCATAGGTGTCGTGTTCGATGGACTTTTTTGGACGATACCAGTTTTGGGAGCTTCTGCAGGCCGAGGTTGCATTATCTGCGGATCTACGCTGTAGAATGACTACTATGTTTTTTTGGAGGGATTTACTGCTTTTTGGCGTTTACGGGGCGTAGCTATATTTTACATCAAGGAGGGAGTACTCTGGCCGTTTTCTCAAGAGCTGAGACAGGTTGCGAGAAGTAGATAACAAACTATACAACAATCAAATTTCTACACAGTACGTATTGTGTTGTTTTCTACAAAGATCTGGCACACTCAATGAATGAGGCAACTACAACGAACAACACACAGCTGAAAGCCAAAGCAAACTCCTATTCACCTCATAACCTAACGTACAAAGCTAAAGTCCATCTAGCTACCTCATCTTACAATGATAGAAATGCATGCTTACTCGGCAACCCAGACACTGGCCATACCCATCCCGGTACCGATACACATACTCGTAACACCGACCTTCTTCCCGGTCCGCTTCAACTCCGTCAACAAAGTAGAGATCTGCCTAGCTCCCGTGGCACCAAGTGGGTGTCCGAAAGCGATGGCTCCACCCTTGGGGTTAACCTTCTCGAGCGGCAAGCCCAAGACCTGGCAAGAGTAAAGTGCCTGCGACGCGAAGGCCTCGTTAATCTCGTAGATGTCAACCTGGTCTTTGGTGATGCCAGCTTTCTCAAGAGCGATTGGGATAGCGTAAGCCGGTCCGATACCCATGACACGGGGAGGAACACCAGCAACGGAGGCGGAAACGAACTTGCCGATGACCTGCAATCCGTTGGCCTGAGCGAAGGAGCGGCGGCACAACAGGACGGCGGCAGCACCGTCGGAGATCTGAGAGGCGTTACCGGCGTGGGTGGTTCCGGTCTTGCTAAACGCGGGCCTGATCTTGGCGAGGGATTCGGCAGTCACGCCAGGACGGACACCATCATCGCGGTCGACCGTGACCTCCTTTTCCTCATCTGTCTTCGGGTCAGTGAACTTGACCTTGAGAGGCACAATCTCCTCGTTGAAGAGTCCTTGTTGCTGAGCCTTGGCGGCCTTCGCGTATGAAGAGGCGGCAAACTCGTCTTGAGCTTGGCGAGAAATGTTGAATTCTTTCGCAACATTTTCAGAGGTGATACCCTGTAAGAGAAGATATTAGTGTTGGCCATACCAAACAACGAATCATCCTTACCATCGGAATCAGACAATCCTTCGCCTCTGAGTGTCCCTTCAACAAGTCACTGAACTCGGATACCGCACCGGGTCCGTAGTTGTTCGACATGCTCTCGACACCAGCACCAATACCACAGTCAATCATTCCGGCCTTGATTTCATGCGCAATCTGAACGCATGCTTGCAAACCGGAGGAGCATTGGCGGTTCACTGCGTTGACAGAGGTGGAGGAAGGGAACCCAGCGACCAATGCGGCAGCACGGAACTCGGTCGCACCGCCACCGGGAGGGAGAACGGAACCGACTGCGATGTCCTGAACGAGGGAAGGGTTGATACCGGACTTGGTGATGGTGGCCTGTGACAATGCGTTAATTCATTACCCTCGAAAGCATTGATGACGGGAACTACCTTGAGGACACCAGCAAGGATATCGGAAGCTTGGGTATCCTTGAAGCCACCCTTTCCGCCCTTGGTCAACGCAGAACGAAGAGCGGCGACGACAACAACATCGTCTGCGTTCTTGCTGTCGATACTGGACGACAAACCGGTGATGTGAGAGGCGACCTGTGCAACGCGGTTGACTGCTGATGCCATTGCCTGGGGATGTATGCTGTATGCTGTTTGTTGTTGTTGTTGTTGTTGAGAAGAGGACTTCAGGAGGTGTTTATAAGGGCGATGTGCGGGGTTTTAGCGTCGGTCGGCGTTCGGAGTCTCCCGTTTCGCATGTGACACCCGCATGTGAAGGGAATCAACCTTCGTGGACTTTAAGGGGGGCGGGTACGACAGTGGCACCAACTCATACGCTCTGCTATAGCACACAGCCAGGAAGATGCGAACTCCCGTGCATTAGGTGGGCCGCCCTCACACAATCGATTGCGCGTCACGCTGCATCCTTGCATCATCGCGCATCCTCCCATTTGATAAGCAATCCAGAGTTCCTCGAGCATTTTCGACGAGCCTCCCGTCACCCACGATCCTCCTGTCCTCTAAACAAGATGCCAGTCCTTCGTGAAGGTATCCCCAACAGCGACGGCATTTACCCTGCACTGCCTCTTCCACTCACTCCGTCCGGCACGAAGTTCGAACCGACGAGTTACGTCGATGTTCCGCCCGTTCCTGTTCAAGAACTCTCTCATCTCTCTTTGCACCTGCCTGAGCATTTGACGCCAGCTGGGGCCGACTACGACTGTGATATGGGGGGTATCGGAATCGTGAGGGGGGAGGGTGAGAAGAGGAGGAAGATAGAGAGACAGGATGAGGTTGAAGACGAAGGTATTGCGAGCAGTCCACTCAACAGTGGAGACAGTCTCTTTGGAACTGCTCGTTTGAAGAGGTACGTACTTCAGTCATCTGTGGGGGTTCGGCACTGACGAATGACATACAGTCGACGACTCGGTGCCCTCCGCTCCGGAACCACATTCATCGGCACTCAAAAGGCGCTTGGACGAGAACCTTACAGTATCAAGGTCACTATTCATGACGTGGACTTGCTGGTGGACGACAAAATCAGCGGATACTTGGAGTGTAGCGGATTGTTGCCTGAACCAGTGACTACCTTTTTTGATGGTGCGATAACCCCCGATTCCGTAACTCCTGTGAATGTATGCTAACGAGCATTACACAGGCGATATCATCGGTCCTAAGCATACGTTCCGCACACTCACGGCCGGAAAACCACCCACGGAATACGTGGACCTCGCACACTGGTCAAAGTTCCCCGCGTTTCGCTCTCGCCTCATTTCACCACAAGCGCACCTTCTATCCAATTTACCCCTTTCCACTGAGGTTGTTGCCAGAGACAGATACGCGCCTCTTTACAACACTCACGAAGCCCACGACCCGTACACATCCGACTACATCTTCATGCGCTGGAAGGAGAAGTTCTTGGTGCCGGATTATAAGGAGACAATCAGTGGTGCTTCCTTCTGCGGGTGGTACTATGTCTGCTTCAGGAGGAGTACGGGGCATATTACGGGTTTCTATTATCATGCCAACAGTGAGTTGTATCAGGAGTTGGAGTTGTGCATGGAGGAAGAGACGGGCTTTGGGGAGTTTGAGTGGAGGTGATCGTGATCGACGTGATCGACTGAAGGAGTACTGCTGGAAATGAGTGAGTGGACGAGTAGAGTGTACGATATATTCGTTAGAGACTGTCTACATTGAGGTGACGACGAGTAATGTTAGAACGGCGTTGTCGATTGCAAAACGAATTGAATATGACCTGTCCGCTTCAAGCTTCATGGCGCAGCAGCTGTGATGCAATGACGTCAAGCCGCACGGCCACACCGAACCCTGGTCACACGCGGGCACGCCTTCTATATAAACACCCAGATCTGCCCTTCCATTTCGCCCATCAACCAGTTCTACTACTACAATAACAAACATGTCTGACACCGGCCGCAAATCCTTCACCGACCAGCTTGGCGACGCTGCTAAGCCCGACTCTGAGAAGTCCTACCTCGAGCAGGCTGGCGACTCCGTCTCCGGCGCCTACGACCGCGTCGCTGCTGCCGTCGTCCCTAACGAGCAAAAGTCCACCACCCAGAAGATCGGTGACTCAGTCCGCCCAGAGTCCGACTCTGAGAAGCAGGGAAAGAGCATGCTCGACTCTGCCAAAGATGTGAGTAGTGCCGTCCTCGGCGGGGAGGCGAAAGGACAAGGGTGTGTCACCCTCCTGACGTCTCCTTCGTTGTGAATCGAATAGAATTGATTGCTGACAGACGTTGATGTAGACTCTTGGGTTGAACCAGTAAACTGTCTTTTTTCGTTTTGGATCAATAAGGATGGATACTTTCTACTCTACTCTTGGATGTACGATATATGCCATTGAGGCGTGATGGACAAGGATACCGAATAATATACCCTTTTATGTTAATGCATTCAAACAAGGTATTCTGCTGCCTACTCCCTATGGTTCACTTGTAGAACACCAAGATACGCATTGCGAGGGTTACCGACAAGTATATCCAAGCGAGCAGCGCGGTACAGTACAGCAATGAAGCGAAGGGATTACTTGAACGACTGAACATCAGCAGCCGTACCGCAGGCATATGTATTGCACACGCTCTGCCGCGGAGACCTAATGAAATGTGTTGAAAAATAAAACCGATTTCATGGCAAACAGTGTCTTTAGAGGCACCGGGGCAGCCGAGTGTACCTCCGGCAGCCCATCCGACCACCCGTCCCGCAGAACGACACCCCGACGGCTTAATAGCAAAGCCGCGTACCCAAAGACGATGCAAACAACGGCCATCACGTCCACAAATAAGCTGTAAAATCCGCCGATTCGCCACTCTCCGCTGCTGACGAAACATACTTGGACTTGCTGGCGCCTGTGACCTGGCTCGCGCGACGCTAACCAAATTTGCGTGCGCTTGAAAAACTGCTGGGCGGGACTTCCTCTCGTCTTGATCATACCAGGCGTATCCTCCATCTTTCTTTACTCCAAGGAATAGAACAGAAGAGTCAAGATGGTGCGTTTATTGATCAATTGCAGTCGTTTGGATCCGCTCTGTATGCTAACTCCCGTCTCTCTAGGTGAACTTCACGATTGACCAGATCCGTGTCCTTATGGACAAGGTTACGAACGTCCGTAACATGTCCGTCATTGCTCACGTCGATCACGGAAAGTCCACCTTGACCGACTCCCTTATCCAGAAGGCCGGTATTATCTCCGCTGCCCGTGCTGGTGATGCTCGTTTCATGGACACCCGTGCCGATGAGCAGGAGCGTGGTATTACTATCAAGTCTACCGCTATCTCCCTTTACGCTGAGCTTACCGAGGAGGACTGCAAGGATGTCAACCAGAAGACCGACGGTCAAGAGTTCTTGATCAACTTGATCGACTCTCCCGGTCACGTTGACTTCGCCTCCGAGGTCACTGCTGCTCTCCGTGTTACCGACGGTGCTTTGGTCGTTGTCGACTGTGTTGAGGGTGTCTGTGTCCAGACCGAGACTGTCTTGCGTATGGCTTTGGGTGAGCGTATTAAGCCCGTTGTCATCATCAACAAGGTCGACCGTGCTCTTCTCGAGCTCCAGATCAACAAGGAGGACCTTTACCAGTCCTTCTCCCGTACCGTCGAGTCCGTCAACGTCATCATCTCCACCTACTTCGACAAGGCCCTCGGCGACATGCAGGTCTACCCCGAGAAGGGTACCGTTGCCTTCGGTTCCGGTCTCCACGGATGGGCTTTCACCGTCCGTCAGTTCGCCGTCAAGTACGCCAAGAAGTTCGGTGTTGACCGTTCCAAGATGCTTGACCGTCTCTGGGGTGACAACTATTTCAACCCCAAGACCAAGAAGTGGACCAAGACCGCTACTGGTGCCGACGGAGCCCAGCTCGAGCGTGCCTTCAACATGTTCGTTTTGGACCCTATCTTCCGCATCTTCTCTGCTGTCATGAACTTCAAGACGGACGAGATCCCCAAGCTTTTGGAGAAGCTCGAGATTACCTTGAAGTCCGACGAGAAGGAGCTCGAGGGTAAGGCCCTCTTGAAGGTCGTCATGCGCAAGTTCTTGCCCGCTGCCGATGCCCTTCTCGAGATGATCGTCATCCACCTTCCTTCCCCCGTTACCGCTCAGGCGTACCGTGCTGAGACTCTTTACGAGGGTCCCATGGACGATGAGTGCGCTATCGCCATCCGTGACTGTGACCCCAAGGGTCCCCTCATGTTGTACGTCTCCAAGATGGTTCCCACCTCCGACAAGGGACGTTTCTTCGCTTTCGGTCGTGTCTTCGCCGGTACCATCAAGTCCGGTTTGAAGGTCCGTATCCAGGGTCCTAACTACGTTCCCGGATCCAAGTCCGACTTGTTCGTCAAGTCCGTTCAGCGTGTTGTCCTCATGATGGGTTCCAAGATTGAGCCCCTCGAGGACTGTCCCGCCGGTAACATCGTCGGTTTGGTTGGTATTGACCAGTTCTTGTTGAAGTCTGGTACCCTTACCACCTCCGAGACCGCCCACAACTTGAAGGTTATGAAGTTCTCCGTTTCCCCCGTCGTCCAGGTCGCCGTCGAGGTCAAGAACGCCAACGACTTGCCCAAGCTTGTTGAGGGTCTTAAGCGTCTCTCCAAGTCCGACCCCTGTGTCCTTACCTTCATCTCTGAGTCTGGTGAGCACATTGTTGCCGGTGCTGGTGAGTTGCACTTGGAGATTTGTTTGAAGGATCTCGAGGAGGACCACGCTGGTGTTCCCCTCAGGAAGTCTCCTCCCGTCGTCGCCTACCGTGAGACCGTCACCGGTGACTCCTCCATGACTGCTTTGTCCAAGTCCCCCAACAAGCACAACCGTATCTTCATGACTGCTCACGCTTTGGGTGAGGAGGTCTCCGTCGACATTGAGGCTGGTAAGATCAGCCCCAAGGACGACTTCAAGGCTCGTGCCCGTATCCTCGCTGATGAGCACGGCTGGGACGTCACTGACGCCCGTAAGATCTGGTGTTTCGGTCCCGACACCGCCGGACCTAACCTTATGGTTGACCAGACCAAGGCCGTTGCTTACCTCAACGAAATCAAGGACTCCTGTGTTGCCGCCTTCCAGTGGGCCACCAAGGAGGGACCCCTTGCTGAGGAGAACATGCGTGGATGCCGTTTCAACATCCTCGATGTCGTTCTTCACGCCGATGCCATCCACCGTGGTGGAGGTCAGATCATCCCCACTTGTCGTCGTGTCATCTACGCCTCTTCTCTCCTCGCCGAGCCTGGACTCATGGAGCCCGTCTTCTTGGTCGAGATCACCTGTCCCGAAAACGCCATGGGTGGTATCTACGGTGTCCTTACCCGTCGTCGTGGTCACGTCTTCGCCGAGGAGCAGCGTCCCGGTACCCCTCTTTTCAACATCAAGGCCTACTTGCCCGTCAACGAGTCCTTCGGTTTCACCGCTGACCTCCGTGCCGCTACTGGTGGTCAGGCTTTCCCCCAGTCTGTCTTCGACCACTGGCAGTTGTACCCCGGATCTCCTCTCGACAACACTTCCTCCTGTGGTAAGATCGTCACCGACATGCGTGTCCGCAAGGGTCTCAAGGCTGAGGTTCCCGGACTTGACAACTACTACGACAAGCTCTAAGCGACTTCTCACTTCTTTCGGGTTTTTGGAGTTGTTTTTTAACTTGGTTATGGTAATGTTTCGTGTTCAATAGGGATGGAAGGCCCATGTATAGTACTCTTTCGCATTTAAAAAAAGCGTCAACAGAATTCTTGGTCCATCTTCTCGTAGTATTCATAATCCTGCAAATGCATTTTGTCGCCTTAACGAAGGGTAGGAATTGACTTCTCTCTCCAGCGTACGTCGTAAAACGCGCAGGGTGCGGCGGGCGAGGCATGCGATGTCACCGCGCACCGACACCAACACCAACTGAACACCGAGGGTCGCGACGGCACTTGTACTCGGCGGCCTTGATCCAGCAATTGCGATGGGCAAAAAGAAGTCGAGAAATGGACAGGCAAAGAAGGTCGACCAGACTGTCAATGATACACCAGACCGCGAGGAATCCGTAACACCGGAAGACGCGGGATCAGGAGATTCACCCGCCGAAACACCGACAGCAGAGGACAAGGAAGTGGAAGCAGAGCAGGGTACGCCATTAGCTGGGGCGATAGCTGAAGCGCCAGGTGCTTTTCCAAGTGAGGAGCACGAAGAACCTGCGGAAGCGGATGAAGTTGCGGATGTGGAGATCACTGGTGAGGAGGACAACCACAAGGAAAATATCGATGATCAGTCCGTTTCGAACGACGCCCCTTTCCCGAACGAACAAGAGAGCGACAATGCGGAAGCGAAGACATCGGCACCAACGTCAGTGTCCGAAGCAGAAGTAAACAAGGCGCCTGCAGAGGACGATCAACCCGAAGAACCATCAGCCGACAAACATGAAGCGAACCCCGAAACTGATGACGATACAGAGGATCCGGAGACCAAAATCGCCACCGCGAAACCAAGTATGGATCTGAGAGTTGCTACGGAAATGGCCGAGGATGACACTCAAGCTAGAGACGAGGGGGAAACCAGGTCGACTCGACCTTCGAATATCGCCATACCACCACCAATGATCCGTGAATCGTCACAGTCAACTATTAAGAAGATCAGCATCAACCAGGACGACCTCTCACCACGCGCGCCTCTCTCGGCTGCAACAGGCGATATATCTCCTTCCGCAGATGTAGCCACGCCGACAGTCGAACATCCCTCGGAGCTCCCCTCGTTCGGCAAGCTTAGTATCTCTACAAGACACTCACCCACCTCGCCGCGATTCAACCGACGACCATCTATCGCCGATCGGAGACGGTCCTCGAGTATCTCTGCAGCATCAGCCGCATCCACAGCATCATCACGAGCTAGGTCCGAATCGTTGGCCTCGGTAAAGAGTGTGCTGAGTGAGGAGTTGGACGAGTTTGATGAGTTTGCGGAGGCAGGAGAAGGTGATGACGATTTCGGGGATTTCGAGGCTGGAGAAGCATTTGATACTTTTGTTGCTCCGGCGGAGCCTCAGGTGCCGTCTATCGTATGTCTTCCACCACGAAATGCCGAACCATCCACTAACGAGATGACATACAGTACATACCTAATCTGACCGATCAAGCGGATGCAAACGCGGTGCAAAAGGAGATAGCACCACTACTGGATCTCATATCACCACGACCTCCTACAGAAGTACCACCTCCACCTCCGCTTCCATCAGCACCTTCAAATGATGCCCCGCTACTCCTGACTGAGAGAAGGTATGGCATCTATCACAATGACCTAGTTCTGAATGCTGACGATCTGCATACAGTCTATCCCTATGGAAGCAGTTAACTGCTCCACCTCCATTACAACCACCAGATTGGAAGCGGTCACGGATAAAGAGGTTGTTTTTGGTATCACTCGGTGTGCCAGTTGATTTGGACGAGATTCTACCCCAAGAGACGAAATTGAAGAAGCTCGTTTTGCCATCACTGAGGTCGAATGCCGTGGATGGCTCAAAGGATAGAACAGGTTCACAATCAGAGGGAAATGGAGCTGCGAACTTTGATGTCCAGGCGGCAAGACAACTGGCGGCTACTTCAAGTGCTGCAGTGGAGAATATGTCAGAAGATGAACTTAGAGCACACGTGAAGCGATTGGAGGCTGTTGCACAGGAAGCGAACGAGGTCATCACGCAGTGGCTGGCAAAGAGGGAGGCGGTCATGAGCGACAAGGAGACGTTCGAAGCTGTCATCGAGAATCTCGTGGGGCACGCACAAAGGACGCGGAGGAACCGAGCGAGCATCTTGGGTGCATTCAGGAGCGGGACACCACCAACGAAGAAGAAGTCAAAGTAAGACTATCTATCCCAAAATATCTATCACGTCCTCTGTCGTGCAACAAATGTCCAATGTCCTTACTCAAACTAGAACTTGCCCTGCAACGCGCTTCTCCCCATCATCCTTGCAGTCTCGTAAACAGTAGTCCACAAGTTTCCCCAGTCAAGGGTGGAAGAGAACGTGTCGGCGAAACCGAAAGGCAACATAGCCGGAATCCAACCCTGAGCCAACTCCAACGCCCAGCATCCCTCAGGCATAGAGTACTGCGCGCGAGCACCACGGAGGTAGACGTTCTGCTCTCCAGCCTTGTACGAACGCGCGTAAAGCTCTCCAGGAGAGAACGCGAGCTGCTCACCCTGGAGGATAGTAAAGTAGTCGTTGGCCATGTGGATACCGGAGTGACCCTCAGTCTCGAGAGGAGTTCCAAAGATGATAAGGTACTCGGAGATAGACGCGTGAAGAATGATCATGGCACCCTGAGATCGTTCGTTAGAATCAAAACAAATGAGAGCCTGGGAAGCAAACATACCATGGCACCACCGGCGTTGTTGAAGAACCACGGGCTGTAGTCAAGAGGCGCAACAAGCTCTCCATACTCCTCCCTCAAACCAGACACCAACGCCTCGAACAAAGCCTCGGTGTTGTTTCCATGCGCCGCAATAGCCTTCTGGGAGACCTCCTGAAGGACCTTGGGGTCGAACTTGTAGAGCGTCGGGAGGACGTTGACGTCGAACCAAGCCCAGATGAAGTAAAGGATGGGGAGGAAGAAGGCAAGACGGAGGAAACGCATTAGGGTGACTGTAACGACGACTTTCGCTTCTCGCCGAATCCGAACCCGCGTTATGTTGACCTCGGCCAGTCACGTGTGGGGGTTACCCGATCGGGGGGTCGGACCAGGGAAGAATCCAGGTTACCGCAGCACTCCATAATATCGCCGCCGTACCGCACGTAAAGAAAATACCATATCAAGAACAAGACAATAATGGTTTGTGGTTTGGACCATCGTTGTTAAGGACTGGTGCTAACATGACGTACAGGCTCACCGCCTTCTCGCACAAGTCGTCATCGTCGGCACCCAGGTCTTTGGCCGTGCCTTCGTTCAAGCATGGAAGCAGGCAGCGGCCAACTCAAGAGCAGCCGGTGCTGGTGCTGCTGCGGCGACAGGGACCGGAAATGCAGTTAAGGATGCGATTACCAGGCAAACTGGACTTACCGCCGACGAGGCTTTTCAGATCCTGAATGTGGAGAAGGGCAATTTCAATTTGGATGAGATCAAATCAAGACATGACAAACTGTTCGACATTAACGATCCAAAGAAGGGTAGTGGATCTTTGTACTTGCAATCGAAGGTGGTGCGGGCGCTTGAGAGATTACAAATGGTATGTGCGGCGACGTTCTTTCCTTGTTACAGGGTACTGACATATATGTCCAGGAAATCGCACAGAAGGAGGCAGAAAACGCGGCGGAAGGAAAGCCAGCAGAAGATGCACAGGGTGGATCAGGTTCGGGGCCCTCTCAGCCGTCAGCATGAACGGAGTGTTGAGGTGTATGTCGCGGGGTTATGTGGTCCGATATTGATGATGCTGTCGGACAACGGAGTAATACGGCACAGGCGGTCAAAGAGACGGCCAAATAAGAGGACAGAGCATTCGAGGAGCATATTGGGTTTATCTTTGTTATTTTCTAGCGTTCGGTTTGGGCATGCGTTTCCATATCACTCCATTCTTCCGGGTGCACAACAGGGCTCCGGATACTTTCAAAAGCAGTGCAACGAGTACACAAATATAACATCTTCTTTCAGAGATCGTTCCACTCCTTCGTAATCGTCGCTACTTATGGGTGATAGGGTCTGGCAAGCCCTACTTCAGGCACCGGCATACGGCCAGCACGCGCGGGGCCACCACCGCTTGGGGGAAATTCGCGGCGGACGACTTGAACGAGATCCCTCGTGCATCACCGGTTCAGCCCTCCGCCCAGTAATTCTTGCCAACATGTCGGACGCCGTTACTATCCGTACCAGGTATGTTCATTGAGGATATTCAGCGTCTCGCTGCTCTCTTTCCCCGCGATTTTTTGCCGTCTTTGAACGAGTGCTCACACGGTGGCAACAGGAAGTTCATCACCAACCGTCTCCTTGCCCGCAAGCAGATGGTCGTTGACATTCTCCACCCCAACCGCGCCAACATCTCCAAGGATGAGCTCCGCGAGAAGCTCTCCGGCATGTACAAGACCGACAAGGTATGATTTCTCATACGGATGCCCACGTTGGCACGATGCATCGAGTTCTCAGCTAAGACTCGTATAGGCCGTCGTTTCCGTTTTCGGTCTCCGCACCCAGTTCGGTGGAGGCAAGACCACCGGTTTCGCCCTTATCTACGATTCCGAGGAGGCCCTCAAGCGCTTCGAGCCCAAGTACCGCCAGGTCCGCGTCGGCGCTGCCGAGCCCCGTGGTGCCCACTCCCGCAAGCAGATCAAGGTTTGTTACTTTCCACTTCCAGTCTCTTGCACAGTTCTGACCCATGGGTATATAGGAGCGCAAGAACCGCTCCAAGAAGCTCCGCGGTATGGAGAAGGTCCGTGGACCCAAGCCCAAGAAGGGTCAGGAGTAAGCGGTTTCTTGAACTATGTTGGGGTTATCTGGCGTTTTCCTTGCCTTCTTGGATTCAAAATTGGGCGGCTCTGGGTCATTTCATAAGCAAGATCCATGCGGGAGCATCCTTCAGCATGCAGGCTAGGCTTTCGCTGGTTGACAGTTCAATAAAAAGCATGCACCAGACATTGTTCTATGAGGCTATCCACCGTGATCGCCATTCTCGTTATTTCTATTTATGGACTCTTGTCTGTATACAGTTTGAAGCTTTCCTGTAAACCTCCGACCGGGCCCCATGCACCGCCCCTGGTTAGCCACTCGTAAATTCCCATATTGGCTTCCTCGACCAAAAGTTCACTCACTCAAAATATACCTGTTCCCTTTAAAAATGGAGATCATCGAAGAAGAATCTATGTCCCCTGACCAGCTCGCTGTTAACCAGCGTTTCCTCGAAGCCTGCCGTGCTTTGGACATCGAGCAGATCCAGAAACTCGTGAGAGACGAGGGCGCAGATGCGTGGTTCCAGGAGCCCGAGACCGGAAAGGGACCTCTGCACCTCGTAGTCGAGGGTGCCCACGTGGCCGAGGCCGAGGAGAAGGACGCGGCGGTCGAAAAGGCCGATGAGTGCTTGAGTTGGCTCATGGGAAACGGAGCAGTATGGAACCAAATGGACCGCGAATATAGAACCCCGGCCTGCCGCGCCCGCGAATACGGCCTCGCAAAACTCTACGCCAACTGTATCGACGCTGGCGTCCGCGCCGAACTTCTACTGGCGCACTTGAACAGGAAGCAACAAACCAGCGCTGGCGCACGCAATGAGGCTTACCTGAACTCGAAACTCACTTGGACGGAGCCAACGGATGGTGCGAAGACCTTGTTGGATGATGAGAATAATGGTGTGATGATGTCTTGGGAGAAGGATATTATGAAGAGGAGTGCGGAGGTTTTGGTGCCCACGCCTGGTGAGGGATCTGTTTTGAACATCGGTTTCGGACTTGGTATTGTCGACACATATCTTCAGGAGAGACGGCCGAAGAGACATGTTATCGTTGAGGCGCACCCGGATGTGATCGCAGAGATGAAGGCACAGGGATGGGACAAGAAGCCTGGTGTGGAGATTGTGGAGGGCAGATGGCAAGATGTCGCTGGCCAGCTCGCGGAGCAGGAGGTTTTCGACAGTGTCTACTACGACGCCTTCGGAGAGTACTACGAGGACCTTCGCGAATTCTTCGACGAGGCAGTCGGGTTGCTCTCACCAGACGGAATCTTGTCTTTCTTCCACGGTTTGGGAGCGGACAACCAGACGTTCTACGATGTCTACACCAAGCTGGTCATGCTGGAGCTTTACGACTTTGGTCTGGATACCGAGTGGGAGGAGCTTTACATTGATATGCCTGATGAGGAGTGGGAGGGTACCAAGAGGAGGTACTGGGCTTTGGGTACGTACAGACTGCCCATCTGCAAGTTCTTGTCGTGATGAGAGATCGGAGGTGCCTTGCAATGCTGGAACAGTGCAAGACACGAAGGGAAGTATATAACGAGTGGTTTAAAGGGTATGTATGTCTATCACTAGACAATAGTTTAGAAACAGCATCAAGTGTTTCTCACTCCATCTTCAAATTCGTCCACCAACTTTCAAAAGATTCCGCACTTACAAAGCTCCTCCTCGCAAAGCCAACACCAAGTGAAGCGTAGACTGTGTACACCCGTTAGGATTCACCGCCAAGCGCCGCGCATTGAATCAACTTACCCCTCCTTCCAACTTGTAAAACTCAGCGGTATTCTCGTCGCTCATCTGCTTTCCACCAAAGATAAGACGCTGCTGTGCTGGTGGGATACCCTCTGTGTAAGACATGTAAGCATCGTATCGAGGTTGGTACCAATTGTCGCGTACCCTTCTCCTCAACGCGCTCCTTGATTCTGGAAACCTAGCAGACAAATCAGTAAAGTGGATCATCAGAACTGGGATAGACGCACCTTGTCAGAAGGCTCGATGTCGAGCTCAATCTGTTGGCACAGACATATCAGTAAAGCAAGGGTGAATGCTGGGCAAACTCCTTTATACCTCCTTGCCAGTAAGAGTCTTGACCTTGATGAGCATTGTATCCTATCCTATCCTTTCTGTTTGGTTGCGAATGCTTCGAGGGTATACGCTGCTCAGGCACTGTTACGTAGCCAAATCACGTGTGGACCCAAGTACTCCTCCAAACTCCTCGACGACGACGACAACCAGAGGATCAGAATGGCCGACTTTTGGAAATCGACGCCGAAATATTACTGCAAGTTCTGCGAGGCATATGTCACAGATACGAAGCTCGGGCGACAACAGCATGAGGCAACCGGGAAACATCAAGGGAATTTGAAGAGGAACTTGAGGGAACTGCATAAGAAGGCGGAGGAGAAGAAGCGGGAGGATAAGATCGTCCAGCAAGAGTTGAAGCGAATCGAGAAGATCACTGGTGCACCGCAGAAGAAGGAGGACGAGGAGGACGATGCGAAGGGAGAGAAGGTTGGGTTTTATGAGAGTTCGGCGACGACGAGCAAAGGCGCACAACCAATATCGACAGTCAAAAAGATCAAGGACGACACGCCAAAAACCCTCGACTCAGAAATTTTTAAGGCAACGACCGCCGTTGTAAATCCCAGCGCACCACCACCCTCATCGTACGTACCGGAGCGTCTACCACCAAAACCAGAATCGACAGATGTCAAGCCGGACTTGACTGACGAGTATGTCAAGGCTGAACTGGCATACGCACGGAAACGAGAAATCGATGAGGAAGAAGCAACAGGACAGAGCAAGGACCCAGAAGATCTACGAAAGTTCAAGGTGGAGGAGAAGACCTATCCGATCGAAGATCTACCAGGCGACGAAGGAAACGTCCCAGCACCAACATTCAAGAAGCGGAAAACAGGGGGCGCAGGACGCAACGTACGAAAAAAGGAATAGTATTGTATCATGCATTTTCTTCACTGCTGCTCTAAACAATGTTTTATCTCTCACAATCCCACAAAAACGCCGGCTCGGAATCCCATAGCAAATAAGCAGACAAACTCTTCAATCTTTTAGCATTTAATCCTTCTTGACCTCAGACAAACGACCGGACGCCAAGTCGTAGACCCAAGCGTGGACATCCAAGCGACCCTCCTTGATAGCATCCTGAACCCACTCCAACTTGTGGACGTTCTCGACCTGTGCGAGGACGTTAAGGTCGACGAGCTTAGTCCACTTCTCCTTCTCGTCGGTGATCTTGTCGAGGGTCTCCTTGTTGGCGTCACGGACGGCGCGGATGTTGGCCAACCAAGCATCAATGCGACCCAACTTGGCATCGCCCAAAGCGGCCTGGACACCACCGCATCCGTAGTGACCACAGACAACCACGTGTTTGACCTTCAAGACAGCAACAGCGTACTGAACGACGGACTCGACGGAGAGGTCACCGACGGGGACGACGTTGGCAATGTTACGGTGAGTGAAGACCTCTCCGGGAAGGAGGTCGAGAATGGTGGTCTCAGGGACACGAGAGTCGGAGCATCCGATCCACAAGACAGTGGGAGACTGACCGGCAGCATTACGAGCCAAGAGGTCAGGGTTGGACTCGGCGATGTTGGCAGCCCAGATGGAGTTGCGGGCGAGGATCTCGGTGGGAGTGGAAGGGCAAGGAGCGGCAGGCATTGTAGTTTGCTTTTGCGGTGGAGTGATACCGAGGGCTCGGAGGAAAGATGTGTTGATGGAGCGGGTCTGTTGTCGGAGGTAGTATTGGTGTTGGGGCAACAACGGGTTATTATAGGTTTGTGGTTTCCTGATTGCGGCGGATCTGAGCATCTGCGTTGGGGTACTGCGCCACGCACTCATACCTGGTATGTGCAGAGAACGAGATAGAGTTGGATCTAGAAGAGGATTGACGGTGATCTGAGACGGCCGCGGAGTGAATGCCTTGGTGGTTATGCTGGTGCAACGTCCGCTGGAGCCCTCACTGTAACGACCAAAACCGACAGACTGGTTGGGCTGCGATCGACTTCCTCGTAGCCACGCCAAATTTAGAGCGGCGAAGTGCAGCCTCCCTCGATCTGCCCAACAGATAACAGACATGAATGAATCATTAATTCGATCTGCATTAATCAGCTAATGATCTTCCTCGCCAATTCCATCAGACTGCTCGCCTTGACATCCGCTTCTCCAAACACTCCTTCACACCCCTCAAACTCCTCATAATCAACATACCCAGTCTTCCACCCCGCCGCCTTCGCCGCACACAAATCCCACATATGCGCAGCCACAAACCACCGCTCCTCATCCGCCTTCAATGTCCCCTGCTCCTTCATCTTCTTCTCCGCATTTTGATAAACCCTCACATCAGCCTTCGCAACCTTAATCTCATCGCATGACAAGATTCGCTCATCCGCCAATTCAATCCCCGCCGCCTCAAAGTATGATTTCGTAGTCGCATGTCCGCCGTTGGTGACAGCGTAGCACTCCACACCCCTCCCCTGCAAATACTCCCAACACTCCTTCAAACCCTCCCTCGCCTCCAAACTCTTAAACTGCTTGGCGATTGCCTCAATATCCTCCGTTGTAAACTCATCCTTCCTCAACCCAGCAATCCGCAAAGCGCGGGCTAATGTTCCTTTGAGGACTTCGGCGATGGGGACGTAGTGGCCGGCTTGTGAGACATAGGTAAAGTCACGTTGGGCGGCGTAGAACCAGGAGAAGAAGAAGAGGGAGGGATCGATGCTGTGTAATTTGAAGGTTGGGCCGAGGCGTTGGGCGATGGTGTTGATTACTGGGGTGAATTCGAAGCAGGTGCCGATCACGTCGAAGCAGGCCTAATCATTGTCAGACCACTGCCATGGGGCAATCAGTCCGTGAACTCACTGTAGGCATATTGGCAGGTCGATTGGGTATGATTGCTGATTAGGACTCTCATTGGAAGCTTCTAAGTTACCCTCCAGGGTTCAGTGTTCACGTGCGGGGAATCCGACACTGACGTCACATTGGCAGCTACAAACTCAACTGCATGTTTTAACACCATCACAAATCACCAGATAGATATGCCTCCAACGCTTCCTGAATCAAATACCTCTTGTTCTTCAGACTCATCCCAAACTTCGCCTCCAACTCTCTCCTTACCGTTTTCGTCGTCAAGCTCGAATACGACTCATCCCCCTGTGCCTCCGCAACACGAAGAATCTCCCCAATTTCACTGATGATCACGTCGTCGGACGGCATCTGCTGGAAAGTAATCCCGGGAGCACGAGCAACCGGAGCAGGCAACGCTGCAAGAATCGGCTCGCTCGAACGATCGGACTGGATGGAACGAAGATGACTCAGATGCTGACTCCCAGAAAACGTGGATCCCGCTTGCGACGGCGTGTATCTGTCGGAATCCTCTATGAGAGTAGCCATACGCGCCGTCCTTTCCAACTCCCGGAGTGCCTCCCTTTGAGCGGAATCTAGTCCATGGTCACTGAGGCTCGTAGATTGCTGCCTTGTGTCGTACCTGATAGGCTGGAAGCTCGACCCAAAGGATGATGTTGAATTAGAGAGGACGGAGGGGTGCGCGCTCTGTCGCGGAAACGATACTGAGTTCCGTGGCAGATTATTCATGTTCCACATGAACGGCAGCGGAGGGTCCTCTGGTCCGCTGCTGGAAGACATTGTAGGAGCGATGGTATGCGTCCGTTCCGAAATCGAGAAAGACCCGCTCTTGTCCGAGTTTCGCCCGGGCACAGCAGTGACGTTGACTTGGACAGCGGATCCCTTCTCCATTCTCGCTTCCGCCTCTTTGGCTTCCTTGGCAGCCTTGCTGTGCATCAGAATTTCCACATACTCTTCCCAGGTTCTTCGGGGGATATCGTTGGGGTCAAAGGTACCTTCGTCGCTGATAACGATCTTCCTGCCCTTTTCACCCATAACGACACGAGTTGATCCCCACGAGAAGTCATCCATGTGCCAGAAGGAGTACAACGGAAGTAGTACTGAGTAGATTGGAATAGCCAAGATGAAAAGAATCATGAAACCCGTCATCTCCCATTTGCGACGGAAGATGAAGACAAGCGCTTGTAGGCCGTACACCAAACCCAACAGAACAAGAGACAAGACGGGCACCGAACTGGTGTTTTGAATGATTCTGTAGATGAGGTAGGCCAAGTAGCCGACAGTAACGGGTTGTATGAGAGTAGCCGCCAGATCCATGAACACAATGAACCTCATAGAGAAACAACAGAACCCACAGAGTTGCTTCAAACCAGTCAACTCGAGGAGGTTGTGAATCGTCGAATTAATCCATCTTCTTCTCTGCGAGATCAAGACACTCCACTCTGACGGTGCCACTGTCTTCGCATACGCATCTCGAATGAATTTTGTCTTGAATGACGGGTGATGTTTCATGAGAAGAGTCGTCAAGTAACGGTCTTCACCTAAGTGAAGAAGGTTCTTGAGGTGAAGCGTATCAACACGGTTGTTCGAGTAAGCGTCAATAATATCATTGCTGACGAACAACGGATCATTGTCCTCGTTGCGAATCCTGTACATGGAGAAACATCCAGGCAAGCAGGTAACCGAACCAAACAAAGATTCGAAGTTTTTGGCGAGGTTGTGAGAAAGGAAATATTCGTAAGGCTGAATCATCGTCGTGAAGGATTCCTGTTTGCCATCCAGTCAGCTACCCTATCGCGGTTAACAGGAGTCACGCAAACCTTGGGATTCTGCAAACTCGTTTCTCCACATGCACCGATCAGGCGAGTATCATGAATGAATGCGGACACCAACCTCGTGCAAGCATCAGGTGCGACGATGGTATCTGCGTCAATCATCAAACAATACTCATACAAACTCGGGTGCACACCAATAACATCGTGAATTTGATGGTACATAGCAAGTTCAAGAGGCGTGAGTAAGTCCTTTTGATTCACTCGGTTCAGGAAGCGCATCAGAACCATCTGTGAATCACGTTTACCACGGTTACCAGCACGAATAACCTCACTGGGCTTGCCTGCCTTCACGATAACCAGGTAAGGTACAATATGTCCCGCAACTTCGTACAGACCAGCGTACACCTTACCCATATTGTGCTGCTTCTGCCCTTCACCAAGAGAGTCGAAAGACAAAGGCTCTGGGTCGAAGGAGGGGTCATGTCCAAGAATATCTAAGATAATGCGCGGAGTAGGTTTCGTATTGCCGGCGCCGACGACATTTCCATCGCAAACGATGAACATTAGTTTCCTCTTGTCTTCATACCTCATCTTGGCAAGCGAGTCGATGGACTTCCGCAGAGACTCTTCGTCTTCAGTATAGGCTGGCATCATCATGATGACAAATTTGTCAAGCTTCTCAGGCTCTCGAGTCTTTCCAAATTGCAAAGCTGCGAAAAATTTGAAAGCAATGATCGACATCAAGGCAATAGAAATAATGAGGACCAGGTAATTCGCAAAGATACATCGTGCAGAATTACGGTTGTCCACTTTACCAATGAAGAAAAGGTTCCGCAAACAAACCCGCATTCTCAGCTGAAGATCTGCGTCAAGATTCAGTTCAGCGAGAGCCTTGGTAAGGTCAGCACCCGCTCGCTGCTGGAAGAGATTGACGACATCTTGATCCATGAAATTAGTGTCGACGCTCTCCGGGGTGGCTTCTTCGCCCGCGACGAGGATGTGTCTGCCGCCCTGAATATAAGACGACAGGTCGTATACATTGCCATCAATGATACCCCATGCTTGTTGGTTTTGCGCCTGCTTCCGGATATATTGCCTCGTGTAACCCATGTAACCTGTCCTGAACTGCTGTCGCAGCAAAGTCATAGAGTTCCAATACCAGTCAGGGCGCGAGTCATTTGTGAAGGATCGGAAGTCGTGGTAATGAGCATTATTATCAGTCGAGTTCACTCCAATGAAATCCAACGTGACAGATGGATCGACTGAGCCGGTCGTCCCTTGACATAATGCAGAGACCTGAACTGGAAACAGTTTCGTTGCATCAAGACCAGCGTATTTCAGGACCGCACTTGAGGGCACAATGCCACTCGGGGGATGAACAGGTGCAAACTGGGTCAGGTCGAATACTTCACCGCGAATTGCAGCATAAGCTGCATCCGGATTATTGTCATTGCTATGACCGATCAACTCTTGCGGACTGAATACATACTCCTTTGGACAAATAAGCTCACTCACGCCAACGATAAAAAAGACAGAAAAGGCCAAGAGCAACCAAATGAGCATGTTGATGGCGAGCTTTTCTCTCCACGCCATTCTCACATCTTTCCGCTTCATTCTTCCAACATGGCGGATCAGGAAGTCGGGGATCCACCAAGTCAGAAAGTACACGATGAATACCCATCGCTTACGCGCCCCAGTGACTTCGTGGGTTTCTGTAATTCGCTCCTCCTCCACAGCACGAACTGCAGCGTCTTTCTCCAGCATACTCCTTGTCTCAAGATGCTGGAACAAGTTGCCGGTTGATCCATTGAAGTCCGAGGTAGTCAGATAACTCATTGGGCGCAACTCCATGTCATTAGAACCCCGCCTAGACGGAGCTGACAAAGGCGTCCCTGGCAAACTATTCTGATCATTGAGATCAGGGACGAGAGACGCCCCAATCCTCCTCGCATTTTCTTGTAAGCCTTGAACACCCTCTGCGACCTGGGCTCGTGCTCGTACATACGAGCTAGCCCAACTCGCTTCGCCAGAGTCTGGAGTAGACACGGGGATCTCCTCTCTGCGGATATCTTGCCTATTATCTTCCCAAAATTGAGCAGTCGCAAGCGCCTCGTTCACCTTATTAGCCTCCAGGAGATACGCGAGAGCGGCATCACTCAGGAAGACTTCACTCTGGCCCACGAAGATGTCTTTCTCGGGCCAATCAATCTGACGAGCAGCTGCAAGACAGGCATCTCGTTCGTTGGAAATATAACCTGGGTTATGGATACCCATAGCATCCAGGTCGACGTAGTTGTCAAGAAATACTTTATGAGAGAAATGAATGGTGTAGTCGTTCTCCTTCACATGCTGTGCCAAATCACTGAGCCCAAAAGTTTGTACTTGAAGCAACATACAACCTGAGTCAAACTGGTTGGCAAGGCGCCTGTCATTCGGCTTCAGGCAAATGAGGAACCACGTCTGACTACCGTCAATGCTCTCCTTCAAACTTCTCAACGCATTGGCGAACTGTCCCGCGACACCGGAGACTTTGTCCTTCTTCTTTTCCGCCAATGCGGCGGCAGTAGCCGTTCTTCTTGCCATACTCGGCTGTCTCATAGGCTTGGAAGGCAATTGCGCCTGAGTGATGGTCGTCTTACTTCTCGGGTGTACCTCCATCTTCACGGCTTCACTCTTGAATAACCTCGCGACGAAATCGTTGCTAGTAGGAGCCAGCTGAGAACCACCCTCAGCCATTACCTCTCCGCGGAAGATCGTCATCAAATCACCGGAGATGACATCCGTGTTCGCTTCCAATAGGTTCGAGCAGTCATATGTGACTTCATCCCAATAGTGCTTGACCATGAATGCTAGGCGAGAGTCATATCCGGCTTGCGAAGAGATCTTGATGTCATCAGAGGATGCAAACCTCTTTTCCATTGCGAGCATGAACTGACTGTTCGTTTTCCCCTTCGAGTGTTTGCCCGTGTACTCATCCAGCATGGCAAACACACCATCCGAAGGACGAAGGAAAGTGTCCAGCAAAGTCGTGTTATCGAGATATGCCGCAGTAGGGGCCTCAAGACCTTCAGCTTTGTAAAGTTCCGTATCCTTCTCGTAGTAATGCGAGAACATAAGTCGCTGAAAGGTTTCGTTGGCCATATTGACAAACAGGCCGTCCATAACTGTCTCTGAATCATTTTGCATTCCAGGGAAATCGATAACGGATATGGTGTTCTGTATATTACTTTCATCGACACATAACCTGGAATTCAACTTCTCTACAATCCAGGACCAAAGCAGCGAGTAAAGTGTACGCGCCAGATCCTCTGTATGAGCTTGTGCAGCCCGGGCATCGAGCATAAGCGTAACTCGCTCGCGCTTCACCATCGTCGTCTTGAATGCCAATGTCATCTCGAGCGTCTCCGGTACGACACCAAGAAAAGCACTTGCCGCAGCCAAAACGTTTGTATTCCGTACTTTGGCGTATTCTTGATCAGAGTTTGGCTCGACAAACTCTAGTTGTCCGAGGTGGAGGATAGCGGCCATGAGCTGTATGCACTGAGCGATGTCATCTTTGCTGATACCGACTCGGCGCATTGCGGTCCTGAGATGTAGGAACCCTTCTTCATCATTGATGAGCCCTTGATGGCGTTGGTTTGGGTGACCAAGGTAACGATATCTAGCGTTCGGGTCCAACTCCAGGTGACTAAGGTCTTCCGGAGTCAGGCCTGAGAGGAGGTAGTAGAAGGCATGAAAGTTCCTCTCTGCAATGGGGACTTTCGGGACACGAGATTTCTCCAGCTTATAATCCAGAAATTTTGCGCCGGTACACTCTGCTTTGGCGTTGTACTGCATTTCTAAGTACAATCCATACCGCGAGGCATTCATTGAGTTGACGGTCTTTGCATGGCCAAAGGATTCAAGGATGAATTGAGCAGCGTCAATGCGGGTTATGAGGGATTGCGAGGAACATGTCTTGAACAACAGGGAGGAAACGACGGTACGTCGGTTATGCGACTTTCCAGAGTTGGTCTCGCCGAGGAGAAGGATGGACTGCGGTGTTGATGAGATTTTCATGTAAGTCCATACCTGTAGTAGTCTGTTAGCATTATATCAGATGCCTGAAGACTGTCCCGCACCTTTTCAGCCCATTTGTTTACCGTAACCTCAGGTTCCGTGTCCGGTGTTTGTTTGCCTTGTTCCGGTTCGACATCTCCCACATCTTTCCAGGGATTGATGCTGAGAAGAGTAGATGTACCGACTGTCGCAGCGAACTTGTTTACAGAAGATCGCTGACGAAGCTGAGCTACGAGCGTTTCATCACTCACAACATCGAGAGTCGAAAGGTCCTGAGCGACTGGAGCTGAATAGTGAGCAGCCATGATGGGCTAAGCTCCTCCTTCGTAAACGAGCGGTGAGGATGGAGGATGGTCCAGCAAAAACAGCTGCTGATATAGGCGGGATGTGTGCGGGATGGAACCGGGACCATGGGTGTTGAGCATCTCTTTAGAAGGGACAGGGGCCTCCTTGCACGCAACTCTCGCTCGGCCGACAGAGCTTATTTTGGGTTCTGCCGTGTTGATATAAATAGAAGCACTTGCAGCTGGAGACCGCCGCGGGGTGAGGTACCCGTTGCACACCAAACTTATGGTGACCCTATGCTGTGAAAATAATACCCGATTTCTGATTCCATTGCTTGTAAACGAAAGTCTCTGCTCTCTGTACACAAGGCTGGGAGTGAAGCATGCTGGGAGGGGTCACGTGCGCTACACCTCGTACGCCGCCGCCGTACGCAACTTGCATCACATCGCATCGAGAAGGCATTCAAGCGTGACGGATCAGAACATTCCTTTCAAGATGTTCGTTAACGAAGCTGAAGTTCAGCAACTCACGCTATGGCTCGCCAAGCAGCTCAAGACTCTTTCTGATGCGGACACGGAGCTTATGAGCGAGTACGTGATTACTGTCCTCACTGGCATTGACGACAATGCGCCCGTAGAGGAGGCAAAGCAGACGTGTACTGCGCAGTTGGGTGATTTCCTGGGCGACAAAACGGAGCCATTTGTGGGCGAGCTCTTTGGAGTGCTCCAGAGCAAAGCATATAACGGCGGTAGTGCACCAGCAGCGGCACCCGCTTCTCGGGACCTATCCGCCACTGCTCCAGCCTTTGTGCCAGCAGCTGCTCAGGCCGATGTCCCGATGACCGCTGCACCTCCAACTGGCCCTGCTGCTGGGTCCCGTAAGCGCTCATTCGGCGCAACAGACTCCACCGCCAATAATTTCACTGGTACAAGAAACTTCAAAGCACCCCGTCAGGGTGGCCCAGGTGTTTCTGCAGGGATGATGGCGCCATTGCCTATGCCCGATCTCATGTCTGGTATGCCCAATATGCCAGGTATGTGGCCACCCAACCCTGAGGCACTAGCACAGGCCATGCAGATGATGCAGAATGGTGGATTTCCAGGCATGCCGCCTTTCCCAGGTATGGGAGGTCCTCAGGGAGGCAGAAAGAGGGGTATATGTCATGATTATCAGAGAAAGGGTTACTGTATGCGCGGTGATACCTGCCCCTACGATCATGGCATGGATGCCATCTCATTGGGCAAGCAAGATGAGGAATATGATCCTTCAGCAAACTTGGTGTTCGCGGGTGCTGCCCGAGGCGGACGCGGTGGTGCTCGCGGTGGTGCTCGCGGCGGACGTGGAGGTTCAATGCCTGGAAGGACAGAGTTCCGTCGCGGAGAACAGGAGGACAAGACCATTACTACCCTGGTCGTTGACAACGTTCCCGAGGATAAGCATGATGTCGACTCAATCAAGGAGTACTTTTCCCAGTTTGGTACAGTCGAGGAAGTCAACCTTGAAGGTCGGAAGCGTGCTTCTATCAAGTTCCCGGACTGGGATACTGCTAAGAAGGCTTGGTCGGATCCCGCGCCCATCTTCCACAACCGCTTTGTCAAGGTGTACTGGAAAAAGAGCGAAAACGAGTCTACAGATGGACGGCCACCTAAGCCGGAGGAACCGCCCATCGACATGGAGGAGGTCAAGAGGAAGGCTGCAGAGGCTCAGAGACTCTTCGAAGAGCGCAAAGCCAAGAAAGCGGAGATGGAACAGAGAAGGCTCGAACTCGAGAAGCAAAAGGAAGCTTTCCTCACCAAGCAGTCCGCTGAACAGAAAGCACTCATGGAAAGAATCAAGGCTGCCGGAGCTACCGCTGGTGCCGCGACTGCGGAAGGAACGGCGGCGGAGGTGGACGAGGATGAGATGGCAATTGAGACTGAGCAGAAGCCGGAGGGCCAGAGCGAAGCTTTGAAGGCGCAACTAGCGGCTTTGCAGGCCGAGGCCGAGGCATTGGGTGTTTCAGTAGAAGATGCGCCCGAGGGTTCATACCGCGGCCGAGGGCGTGGTCGTGGACGGGGCGGTTCGTACCGCGGAGGCTTCGACCCATCCTTCCGTGGTCGAGGCCGTGGACGTGGGAGGGGTGGGTTCGTCGGTGGAGGCTCCATGAAGCTCGATAACCGCACCAAGAAGGTAGCCATTGGCAATCTCGCTGGAGATAAGGAGGAAGCTTTGAGGGAGTACCTTTTTACTGTTGGTGAATATGAGAATGTCGAGAGGGATAGCACCGGAAAGCAAGTTGTCACCTTCAAGGACCGCCGCACTGCCGAGAAATTCATGGCAGTAGCAAGCAAGGAGATTCCCAATGTCGGCAGCGTGGAGCTGACCTGGGTCAACCCACCTCCGAGACCTGCCAATAGCATGCCCAGTGCGTTTTCCACCACGCCCAGCGCCGTGCAGACTTTGCCGTCAGAGGAGTTCCCTGGCATGGATGCAAGAATGGATGGAGATGAAAGGATGTACTATGATGAGGATGAGCAAATGGCGTAAATCTGAACATGCCTGGCTAAACATGTGTGAGTTAATGATTGAACAGTTATAGTTTATGGACTTGATTATGGTATGATATATTGAAAGGAGTTCTCTTGGGTGCCGTACATGTTGTGCCTTTGCCCCATGCTTCGCTGCCTCGCCCGTGCCTTCAGTGACGTCTATCTGGATGAGCAGGTTACCGAGGTCAGCTGAGTAAAGGGGCCTGTTCGGCACATCCTCGGCAATATATTATTCTCCGTTAAACAGGCTGGTACATTTCGATATAGAATCTCGATTCTTCCAAATAGGTAAACTCATATGACAAAAACTCCACAACAAAAGCCAATTCCCAATATCACGCTGCTTCAACCGGTCCCAAATTATTTAAGTTTCCCTGCTGCCTATGCCTACTAGCCTCCCTAGGCCGTTCATCTCTGCGTTCAGCGTCTCCCTTTGACTTTGCCCGATCACCCTTACTCTTCCTGAAACAAGCAAACTGAGTCGCCGTTGCTTTCCTAGCGTGTTGCAATAGGTGCTTGACATGTCCAAGCTCAGCTTGTAGGTCCTCGGCGGAGACATCGGATGAAGTGTACCCGTCTTCGATGGCTCTGTAGACCATGCTGAGCTTCTCACCCGCAGTGGAATCAACAAACTGACTCAGTGTCTGGTGGAAAAATTCCACTTCAAGAGTTGCCTGAAGCATGCCACCCACACCAAATCGGTCAATCCCGCGGATAGCGTCCAGAAGGTCTTGTGCCAAGGAGTTGGTAAGCGCAGTAATGATGCGTCCAAGCAAACTCGGTGTCAACGTCCAGACCTGGGAATGAACCAAAACGAGCGTAACGAGGGCGTCATATACATAGCTGTGTACTTCGACCGGCCGTGGCAAAGTTGCCCAAGGAATACCCGAATTGAGCACACCACCTCTGATAATCTCCGATACAACACGGGCCTTCCCACTGATATACCGCTTAAACAGCCTGTCATCTGCTTGTTCGAGGACATTGATAAGCGTCCTAAGATCCTCTGTCATACCCAAAGAGAATGCCAACTCGAACTGGTTGATGAGCTTCGGGATGACACTCTCCTGCATCTCCGCCAGATTGCTGACCGTAAGCAAAATGCGGGTGTCTGTATCACTTGCGTCCACCTCCCTGATCTCCTCAGCAGTCACTGCAGAAATGCGCTTCTTTGTCGTGGGTGTCGGCACAGCATTCAATGACAGCGCTAAACTGCAGATATCCTGCTGTACAGTATACAACCCGCTCAAGAATGTCGACCGCACCGCGCCGATCATCTTCGCGGTAGGCATAACCTGCGGTACCTTCTGAACAGCACTTCCCGAAGTCGTATTGGCCACATTCAAGATCTTCTCAGCATTCGCAATGATAGCTCTCGTGTACGACTGAATTGCGCGGGGGAATCCTGTATTGTCATGATTCTCCGTCGCACGAGTCCAGTTCTCCAGACGGACAAGGTGCTTGGTATCTTGTTGCCAAGCCTTACACACCGCGTCATTAAAGTGCTGCATCGCCGTTCCCAAAACAGTTCGTAACGCATCAGTCACTGTAGATGAAAGCCCAAGAGAATGAATTTCACCGACAGCTTGTGCGATCTCCCTAAGCGTAGACGACAAATATCTCGACGTACTAACAGCATTCGCATGAGCCGGCACGAACGCAAGAACCTTTCCTCCATTCACTGCAGGTAGAGCCGGAACAGGCGGAACACCACCAACCGGTGTCGACGGCTCCATATCATCAGCCATCAAAGCCACAGGCGGACTCGAAATAAACTCCCCCATAAGTCGACAAATCAACAACACAAGACCTTCCACCATGCCCCGTAACTGTGCCACCTGCATCTGATCCAGCGACAGGTGCTTCTTGGAGATACCGTTCGGACCCGTCGGCATTGACTTCTGCGCCTTTCCATCGACGAAACTCTGGACGGTACGCCAGAACTCAATCAAGAGATGCGCACCGAGTTCACTCATCATATCATCCACGAAATCGCCGAGAGCCTCCCACATCTCGATGATTTCCTCAGAATCACACTGGAACGCAAACTCCTGCTTTGGATGGAAAGGAACGCGGAGGTAGGACACGAGTTGCTTTACTGATGGTGCCGGTTTCGCTGCGAGTTTGCGGCGGAGGGTTTCGAATTGGATACGGTCTTGTTCGAAGGTGGCGGTGATCATGTTGCGAAGGCGGTTGTGTCGTACTTGGAGGTATTGCCAGATAGGATTGTCGTCAATGCCAATTTCGAGAAGGTATCTGCACGTCATGAGGTCAACTTTGAGCAATTGATGCAATGCCAAACCTCGACGTACCCTATTGCCTTCATTTGCTGTTCGTCCGTCTTCCCCTCACCGCTCAACCCATCCCAAAGATCCTTCTTCCAGTTATCCACAATCCGTTGCGCCTCATTCCATACCTTCTCAAAGATCCTCCGTTGACTAACCATCAAAGCCGTCCCTTGCTGGTTCGGATCCGAAGCCTTGTATTCCTTGAACAAATTCTCACCCTTGCGATACTCGCGAATCAACCCCTCGTGATCCTTTCTCCTTTGACAATCCAGCAGTGTCGATGGAAGGTTGAAATATGATTTGTACCGATCTAGGACTCCTAGTGTTGAACGGAGCGTATTTGCCTTTTCCCTGTTCTCCATAATTGGCGTGAAGATCTGTTGTGCCTTTGCGTTCGCATCCAACGTCGCACTCTTCAGTGCACCGATACCGTAGTCGTTCTCCCTATTCAGGGTTGCAGATTTCATGTCCTGGTACACGTCGTCGATCGTTGATTTAGCTGTCACGAAGCGGTCAAAGTTTTGACCAACGAGCTCTTTCACATCGTCCCGCCGTTGCTCGATAGAGTGTTGTAGCCAGTCCTGACCAGTCCGGAGTTCTGAGTATGATGCATTGGCGTGAATATCTCGCAGAAACGTCCGAGGCTGGAAAGTTTTCGATGTAATCATATACTGCGCCCGAACCTTAGGATCCGTATCGATTTGGATACCCTTCCTCCGCAGCACATTCGACACCGAATCCACCATCCCTAGCGGATCACTATCATCTTGCGACAGCTCATCGATCTCCGTTGCCGGATCCTCCTCCTGCTGCAACACCTCATACCGCGAAGCTCGCCGTGCACCATAAGCAGAGTTGCTCGACGCAGGCTTTGGTCTTGAGGTGTCCTTCCAGTGGTGAGGTTCTAGGGAGTCGAGGTTGTATTTGCGTAAGATGGCAGCATTCTCTGAACCTGGATCGTAGTTCATCTAAATAATCGACTCATTTACTCGACTCTCACTGTGCCGTCACGTCACGTATTTACGTCGCCGCATACCCCAGGGACTGACCACCACCCCAACCGGCCACTGTATGGATCTGTCTATTGAGCGTTCTACTTCTTTTCGAAGAGCTTCTAGACGAGTATTGCCTCCAGTCTCTCCCAGCAGAAGGCCTTCCACTCGTCCGACGCTTGTGCCGGCACCCCCGGCGACTTCCCGTGGCTTGACGAGGTTTTGAAGCGATTGACGTCCGAAACTGCAACACCCATATATCCTCCCAAAACATCCTCCTCGAAAATGTTCTCCGCAGGCCGATCCGCATTCCGCGCCCGTTCCGTTGTCCCGGTACGTCCGATCCCTCCTCCCTCGTCGTGGAGCTCTTCCTCTCCGAGAGATCCTTCGCTTTTTTGTTTGATCTCTCCAATTGCCGACCCCACGATGCGATCTGATATCCGATCATTGCTAACGTCTGATGTTGGCAGGCTGTCGCCCGCCGCTACAACCAGGTTTCCACCGCCGGTGCCACTGGTGCCTTCTCCGGTAAGAAGAACGGCAACGGCAACTTCACCGTCTCGTTGATCGAGGGTGACGGTATCGGTCCGGAGATCTCGGAGTCTGTTAAGGATATCTTCAAGGCTGCTCACGTCCCTATCGAGTGGGAGCCCGTCGATGTCGGACCTATCCTCGTTGACGGCAAGTCCGCCATCCCCGAGGACGCCGTCCGCTCCATCAAGAAGAACACTATCGCCCTTAAGGGTCCCCTCGCTACCCCCATCGGTAAGGGTCACGTTTCGCTGAACTTGACTCTCCGTCGTACCTTCAACCTCTTCGCCAACTTGCGTCCATGCAAGTCTGTCGCTGGATTCAAGACTGCCTACGACAACGTCGACATCGTCCTTATCAGAGAAAACACCGAGGGAGAGTACTCCGGTATCGAGCACGTCGTCGTTCCCGGTGTCGTTCAGTCCATCAAGCTCATCACCAAGGATGCTTCCGAGCGTGTCATCCGCTTCGCTTTCAACCACGCCCGTGAGTGCGGCCGCAAGCGCGTTACCGTCGTCCACAAGGCTTCCATCATGAAGATGTCCGATGGTCTCTTCTTGAACCTCGCCAACGAGATCGGCAAGGAGTACCCCGACATCGCCCTCGACGCCGAGCTTCTCGACAACGCCTGTTTGAAGATTGTCACCGACCCCCTCCCCTACAACGACCGCGTCATGGTCATGCCCAACTTGTACGGTGACATTCTCTCCGACATGTGCGCCGGTTTGATCGGTGGTCTCGGTTTGACTCCTTCTGGTAACATCGGTCGTGACGCCTCCATCTTCGAGGCCGTCCACGGTTCCGCTCCCGACATCGCCGGTAAGGGTCTCGCTAACCCCACTGCCCTCCTCCTCTCTTCCCTCATGATGCTCCGTCACATGTCCCTCAACGACGAGGCTCACAGAATCGAGCGCGCTGCTTTCGATGTTCTTGCTGAGGGCAAGTCCATCACTGGTGACTTGGGTGGCAAGGCTTCTACCAGGGAGTACACTGAGGCTATCATCTCCCGCTTGAGGTAAATGGTTGGTTGGTGATATATGGGGGATGTAATGTTGACTGGATGATTGGTGCAAAGCTGAGCTGGAATACCATTCATAAAATATCTTAGTAGAAGAGTTGAACTCGAAGAAAAAGATTGAAAACAATACGCTATTAAAAACCGTTCATGCCAAAGAAACGTCCCGTTTCAATGCCCAGTCTAAGCCAATAATCCCACCATGAATGCACCACCCAACCATAATCCTACAGACATCAATGCAGAGTTCGACCCAACCTTCACAGCTCCCGAACTCGAACCCGAAGCACTAGCAGAGAGCGACGCCGTCTCACTCGCACTGGACTCAACACTGCTGGTAGCCGTAGGACTCGGATAAGCAGTCAGCGGATTCGGATCCGTTCTATTACCATCAACATCACAAACTTCACCCGTACACGTCTCGTTCATCTGAGCCAGCGAATTCGTAGTGTTAAAGTACAGCTTGATATACTTGATCTGCATCACGACATCAGAAGTCGGAGGACCAGAGGACCAGACACCACCGTCGGACCACATGTTGAGGATCACGTTCGATGGCTCTTCGGGAGCGTGGTACCAGTTTGTCTGGGCGTGAGTGTAGTTGGCGTAGTAATCCGTCTGGTTGGGGTACCAGTCAAGTCTGTGCTCGATGTACTCGGTCCACTTGAGGCCATTGACCAAGGTGTCCTCGTAGGAAGATCCGTCAACGGTGTCTCCGTCAATGACATCAGGTTGGTTGGAGTAGTGAATGGTGGTCTGATTGTCAGCTGTCAAGATCTCGATATCAGACTCATTGGTGTCATTATAGTAAGTGAAGTACCCAGCAACCGCGCCCTGCCCACCCGTAACACGGAACATTGCACGGAACGAACCACGGAAGATATCACTGCGGTTCGTCACAGTCTCAGAAGTATAGACAAAGTCATCGCTCGAATTGTATGCCGAACACTGCATCCACAACATATCATCCTGGAGCCAGACGTTGCTCTCTGTATTTTGCATCTGGTACGGGTGATTGGAAGAATTGGTATTCCATGTCTGGATATCCCAGTCGCTCGTAAAGTTGGAAGAGGAAAGCGACGTGATGTTGGCAAAATCGGTGACGATTGCGTACTGCCAAATGTCACCGGAAGAGGTGCGGTAACCGCATTCGCAAACTCCTTGCACGAGAGAGGGCAGGAGGAGCGCAGAAGCCATGCTCAACAAAGAACTGAGCATATTTGTGATAGGTATCGAGGGATCAGAAGGGAGGGTTGTATGCGCGTCGTTGAAGAGAGCGAAGATCAGGAGGCCGGCAAGCGAAGAGGGTGATGACGATTTCTGCACGATATGCGATTGCAACGCAAATTATTCCCGGGTCCGGTGTGCTCTGTGCACAAGCTCTATAGAGTGTAGGTCATCTTGGCACATCCTGCGCTGGTGGCGAGTTCGAGTCTCACCTATCCGAGCCCGCCTATGTTTTAGAGTTGCCGCTACGAGCGATTGACACATTCCACGGGAAGGATCTTATAAGAGTGCACGGTCCGCTTCTCATAAGAAAGTCACCCGCAGTGAATCATAATTAAACCTCCCGTATATATCACAGACATCTATGAAGTCAAATCCGAAATACCTCCCTCCGTAATCTGATAACTCGCCTCCTTCTCTGCCATGTCCGGACTGTCCAGAAGCTTAGCGACACGCTCCTCACCCCTTCCTTTGCGAAGGAAGATACGCGTAGCGGACCTGTAGGTTTCATGTCAATTATCGCTCTTCCAACACGTTAAAGAACCTACGCGTGCGCGAGAATGTGTCCACCAACAGGCTTCTTATCAGCAGCTGCAAACATCATCGAGGCACCGGGATCAGCTTGGACCTGTAGTTAACATCGTCAGAAGTTGAGTGTGAACTTGAGCTCAGCTAAATACCTGATTGGTCAAGAAGACGGCAACATTGAACTGCTCGGACAAACGGGCAAGACGAGCGAGCATGATGTTGAGCTTCTGCTGACGTTCAGAGAGTTCACCACGACCAGAGTACTACCATGTAATCAGCAAATCGTCAACACAAAAGACAAAATCACACACATCAACACGAAACAGTGCCATAATGGAATCGACTACCAACAACTTGTAGACGCCCTTCTCTTCGGCACATGATTGTTCAACCTTCTGAATCAACTCGTACTGATGTCTGTAAGATGTCGTCAGCAAACTGATAAGCACCAGGTCGAAGGATCTTACTCAGAGTTATAAGCCCGAGCAACGATAATATTCTCTAAAGCTTGCTCGGGATCGACACCAAATCTCTCCGCAATAGCCCTGATACGATCAGGACGGAAGGTACCTGTGCGACGCGTTAAGCAGTGCTAGTAACATGACCACTATACCCTCACCTTCAGTATCAATATAAGCAGCCTTTCCCTCTGCACCCCCCATCTCCCTGGGCAACTGCGCAACAACACACATCGTGTGAGCCATCTGGGTCTTACCACCTATGTACGCCTGTTAATTATCACAAGGAAAACAGAGGCACACAAACCACAAGCAAACGTACATCTAAACTCTCCATACGCCTCCGTGAGAGACATGGAGCAGATACCGCCACCAAGGATTACATCGAGGGCCTTCGACCCGGTGGAGACATGAATGACGCGTTTGCGTTGGTGGGAGACTTCCATGGCGGTGTTGAAACTGGCGGGCTATCAACGAAATTTAGCATCGCCGTAATGAAAGTAAGACGCTGTGATATGTACACAAAGCTTGGTAGCAGCTTCCTTCAATTTATCAACCTTCGCCTCACTAAACCCCTTGATCTTGAGCAAGTTACGACCTATGGTGAGGACGGATGAGCATATATCCCGGATGAATGCTAGGGTGCCGCATACGCGTCCACATTTGAACAGCCTGGAAGTAATTAGCCAGATACTATAAGAAAGAAAGCGGCAAACAACTTACCGTCACAGTACAGATTCCAGCGGCCCGAAGTTTCTGAATATCGGCTTGACCAATTCCTGTTCGCAACGTGAGCACGATGCCGCATATAGTTGGGTAAAAAGGGGTAAATACCATGGTTCTGGAGTTCATCGATGTCGTAGAAGAGCTGTAAAACGAGTCAGAACAGGAACCCACCCTCAGGTCTTCGTGGTACCTCTTCTTCCTCTTCAGCGGAGATATCATCTTGGAATTCTTCGGCAGGGGACATTGCTGTTGTAGACGCGAAAGTGATGGAGCTTCAAACGCTTGTACAAAGAAGTAAAGAAGAGCTTTGCTTGAGCGAACTGTGAAGCGAAGACTGTTGGTTGTAGTAGGCCGCTTGGGGTAACGGAGAGGATTTGATGTGTTCAGGAGTCGAGGTATAGGCGAGGCCCGACCGTGGGAGTGTCGCTCAGGGGACATTCAAAGAAAATGATAAAATCCTGTTATCAAAATGCTAAACAAAAAATGCGCCGGTATACTATCGAAAAACGAAAAGAAAAATGCCGAAGTGAATGTGTAGTTTTAGTCAGTCCTCTGCCTCTTGCCACCTCCACCTTCGCTGTGGATACCCCTCTTCCTCTGCTTCTCAAAGTACTGCTTCGTCTCCTTCTTTTCCCTTGCAACCTTCTTCACCAAACCCTCCTCGACCTTCTTCCTGTAGACCCCCCTGCGCTCCTCCTGCTTCTCCTTCCTCTTGCGGGTTTTGTCCGCGTTGAGGGTGTGCACCTTCTGCATCAAGTCCCTAGCCTTACGTTCAGCAGAGTCGGTGACGATGACGGCACGCTTCTGCATATACGTCGGCTTCTTCTGCGCGTTCATGATACGAGGCTTAGATGCGTATGGCAAAGCAGCCTGCAAAGCACGAGGGACCTTAAGAGGGTTGAACTTGCGAGTCTTCCGCTCGACAGGACGGTACTGGGAGTTGGCAGGAAGTGGGGTAGCGACGGCCATTTCCCTTCTCACTGCACCAGTCAACCTCATACCCTCCCACGCAGTCTTGTCCTGCAACAAGAGGGAAGTGACAGGGTTGTAGAACTTGCGAGGCTTGACAGGGTACCATGCTCTCAAGAAGACAATATCCTTCATCAAGATCTTATCCTCGAAAGTAGCACGGAATTGACCCTCAGGCTTACCAAGTGCCTTCTTGATCTGACCACGGATACCAGAAACAGTGCGGATGTTCGCACCCTCAAACTTGGCGACCTCAAGAGCAGAGTTGAACATGTTCTTGATGAACGCAGTGTTCTTGTAGACCTTGGTAGGCTCACCAGTCAACTTCAACTTCTTAACAATCTCAGTACTCTGATCCAAATCCAAGACGACACCCGTCGCCGCGATACGGAAGGCACCGGTCGCGAGCTTATTCGCAACAGTCTGAACCGCACAGAAGCCCGTATTAGGAGCAGTCATCGGCCCATAGAAAGTAGCGAAACAATGCATATGCTCAGGCGTATACTTGAGCATACGATTTCTCGTCCGTGAATCGGAGATGGAGTAAATGGGGATAGACTGGAAACGTCTCCAACCAAGAGAGAACACCAACGGGTCATTCGTCTTCAAAATCTTTCTGTGCCATCTATGCTTCTTGATACGCACCTGCAAGAAACCGAACTTCTCCTCGGTAGTCAAGAGACCACCCACAACGACGGGGTACTTGGGGTCAAAGTGCTGAACAAACTCCGCAGGGACATTGTGGAAGAGGAGACGAACGTACTGACCAGCACGGTAACCCTCAATCTTGGCACGCGAGACAGGGTCAAGATCACCAAGCGCAGCATTGTTAATCTCAAGCTGCTTAGCAATCTTGGCCTTCTGCTCCTCATGCCAGTCGTAGTCCTCCTTGCTTTCCTTGTCACCACGGTCTTCCTCCTCGAACCTCAAGCGAAGCTCTTCCTTCTTCCGTGCATTAGCTGCACGTTCAGCATCGAGATCCATCTCCTCAGTCTTCTCTTCTCCCTCTTCAACCTTGTCGTCACCCAAAGATGACTCCTTGCCTTCACCAGTAAAGACCTCACCAGTCTCCATATCCTCGAAATCACCATATACCTCATCAGCATCCTCATCCTCGACCGCCGTAGTCTCACCATCAGTCTCAGCACCGTCCTTCTTCTGGTCAGCCAAGCTGCCAGTGATGAATCTATTCCGGATACTTTCAAGAGTCTGCTCATCATCCCACTCATCGAGATCATCCAAGTTCACGTCCGCCTTAGTCCTGTCAACCCACTCTTCCTCCTTCTTAGACTTCTCGTCCTTACCGACAGGCTTGAAGAAGTCCTCCTCCTCATCCGCCTGCTCGATATCCTCCTCTTCGATATCTTCCTCGTTCAAGAGGCCCTTCGACTTTCGCCACTCGCGGATAACGACGTCGGAAGTGAGAGCATCATCACCGTAAATCAACCTATTCAGATCGACACGACGCTTAGCATGGAACATCTTCTCAGCGTTCTCGCGCATATTAGACTTCCACCGCAGCGCACCATGAATATCCTCGTCATCAGAGTAATCACCCATATCAGAATCAGACTCAGCGAACGCAACGTCCTCCTCTTCCTGATCCTCATCGTCCTGACCAATCCGCGCCTCACCATCAACATCCTCATCAAAGTCATCCTCCTCCTCGTCCTCTCCATCATCGAGACCCTCGAGCTCGTCATCGTCATCAGCAGCAGTAGCAGCAGCACCATTCGCAAACGCTGTCGGCACACGACGACCCTTACGACCCGTATCCGCCGGCCCATCATCCTTAACCTCCTTCAACGCATCACCTCCACTAAACAACCTCAACCCCTGCTCCCCAGCCTCTCCCAACTTATTCTTCATGTCCTGCAAATTCATGATCATCCGCTCCCCAAACCCATCATACTCTCCCTCACTCTCGTCGCTCTCATCCACCGCAGCACCATCATCCTTGAGTGCCAACTTCTCCTTTCGGGTAAAGTTGCCGGGAACATTGATGTAGACTGCGTCCTTATCGAACATGACACCGTTGACGTCGGACATGGGCGCGTAGATGAGCTTGGCTTTCTCAGACAGTGACCTTCGCTTCTTTGCTGCGCCGGGTGCTGGGCAGGGATCGTCGAGAATGGAGACTTCGGCACACGTGAGATCAGCGACACCGGGAATGTGCACACGGGCACCGGAAGCCGGGAGATTGGTTCCACGAAGGTAGCCGTAAAGGGTGATGGTGCGGTCGCATCCTGGGTTCTCGTGAACCTGCTCGGGCGGAGTGAGGTCCTCCAAACGATCCGCAAGGAGGTAAGGATGCTGATTTCTCCATTGTAATGGTCGGAACTTCATAACGGAAATGAATCGTGCCAAGTTAAGAACTTCTCGATCGGGGTACCGTCCGTTGATAACACCAGAAAGGTAGAACAACTTCGCTCCATTGTAGATTTCAGTCCAGAAACGCTGCTTTAAGCGCTTCTTCTGGGCTCTGAGAGTGGCGGGCTTCTTGAACAAGTCCAAGTGGGTAAGGATACCCATGATCTTGGGCATACCGTGTGGCGCAAGGATATTGAGAAACTCCATCGTCTCCATTTCGAAACCAAAGTTACCGTCGATGAGGAGGAGGATAAGGTCGGCGACCTTGGCGATGTCGATCATGGAGTTGATGTCGTTGGCGCATTCAATGAAGGTCAATCTTCTGGTTTTTCCGGAGACAACAGTAACGGGACCCTTGATGTCGGACAAAGAGTGTTTCGAGAATCGCTTGACGAGCGACTTGATCAATGTAGTCTTTCCAGTACCAGGCGGGCCAACAACAGCAACAATGACCGGCGGCGCCTCATCCGGTGTTCTGTCAACCATAGGAACATGCAACTTCTTCTGCCCAACATCCGCAGATCTCCTCGCCTGCCTCTCCGCACGACGAGCGCTGTTCGGCGCATAGGCCTTCACATTCTGACCTGTTGATCCCAACTTCTTGTTTGCGGCATTCTTGCGATCCGCCTTGGGACCGGCCTGCTTCTGCCTGAATTGTCTGTGCTTCTGATCATCTGACATTCTCCCTGAGCTCAGTCTGTACGACTGTTCGAAGCTGCACTGTTTGCCTAGATTTTCTGTATCGAGAACCTGCAGTACAATTACTGGAGGCGACCGAAATTTCGAGCACGTGAGACCGATAAGAATGAATGACCTCGGTAGCACTGTTCGTATTGGGAGGAGCTGTCGATCAGTATAACAAGGATATTCGAGATAGTTGCAAGGGATCTGACGCCTCCTACAGTCTAATCCCATCTACCGATGTCCGGGGCTGCGATGCGAATGCAGGCCCGGTCTAAGAAAAAGCTGAGATACGAACCTCGAGGAGAACAGAGTAAAGAGAAGGAAGAGCAGCAAAATCAGCAGCAATGGCCGACATAGCAACAGACTCGAAGCGCAGAAGATCAGTAGACGGAGAAGAAAAGAGGAGGAAGAAGCACAAGAAGTCCCATACCTCAACCGGTGACGACATGCCCGTCTCTCTCGCCGAGGCCTCCGCTGCCGCCGGTATCGAAGACGTCAAGGCCACTATCAACACCGATCTCGTCGGCTCTCCATACCACTTTGTCACCCTCGAAGTCCACGTCTCCCTCCCGCCCCTCTACACCGCAAACCCAACCCTCGGCGTCCGCGACCACTTCGACTCCATGATCATGTCCTACGTCCCAGCAGCCCGTGGTGTCATCCTCGCCCACTCCAACCTCCAATTCCTCGACCGCTCCGCAAAAGTCATGTACGACTCCCCCTTCGCCTGCGTCTGGGCGCGTGCGCGATTCCTCGTGTGGAAGCCTGAACGGGGAGGAAAGTTGGAGGGGTATGTGAATTTGCAGAGTCCGGATCACATTGGATTGTTGGTGCATGGGATTTTCAATGCGGCGATCTCGAGGAAGAAGATTCCGAAGAATTGGAGTTTCAATGAGGATTTTGAGACGGGTGAGGGACAGTGGACTGATGCGGATGGTAATGTCGTGGACGGAAAGATTGCGTTTACTGTGATGAGGTACAAACGCATTTCTCCAACGGTTTTGAACTCTTGGCTAACATGCTATATACAGTTTGAACAGCTCCAGCGAGATCATCTCTGTCGAGGGCTCATTATTGCCCGAGGACGCACAACCCACCCAGAAGAAGGAGAAGAAGAGCAAGCACTAAGCAACGGGCAGTCAGGACACTGCGGTGTACAGACAAAAAAGTCTATGGGAAACACACAAAAGGCGTTCTTGGGTTCATTTCTTTACGATCGGGTTTCATTTCTTGCAAAAGCACATTCAAGATGATAATACATATCATTTCAAACCAACAGCCAAAAAGCCTAAAGCTATATCGTCAAACATTCCTCAAATCGAGGGGTGGAATCTCCGATGCAACAATGCCGTGTATATGCTCGAAGCTCTTCCCAAGGAGCGTGGTATGATCAAAAACCCCAATATCGATAACCCAGAAAAATAAAGAAAGAAGGAGATAACTACGCAGTCTATAAGCCGTATTTTCCCTTGTGCCCGTGCCCAATTAAGTAAAGATATAAACCAGACAAGGACCGGCCTGTCGCACATTCAACACATATTCTTCACATACTCTTCGTTTGTTCACTCTCATACCTAAGCCTCCACCTCATTCTTGACGTCGATGGAGGCAGGCTTCTCGTCATTCTCTGCAGCGGGTGCTTGCACCTCCAATCCTCCCTTCGTGACGTCAACGAGCCCTGCGCCGATTGCGGGAGAAGGCGTCATGTCTTTCAGAAATTTGAACATGCTCTTCTCCGTGTTTGGCGTGAACAAACTCAAACCATCCGCAGAAGTAGGGATGAGCCCGCTCTTGTGCATGTGCAAAGAAGCGGTACTCGTAGCAGCGGTGGTAGGGTTCGAATACATAGTCGGAATCGTCGACAAAGAGGAAAGCGTCGACAATCCCGGCCTAGGCTTCCCCTCCAGCCCAGTCGGTGTCGCGGTAGCAGGAGACGCCACAAACGTCTGCACAGGCGAAGAAGACCCACCCAGCGGACTCTCACTCATGCTCGGGCTAGGTGTGTCGGTATTCTGCGTAGACGGCACGATCGGAGCCGGGTGCGGCATTTGCTGCTGCGAGTAATTCTGCTGCATGCCGGTAGACGTAGGCATAGCGAAGTCATCCTGGAGGATACCGGTGTACCCAGGCGTAGCGAACATCTGCTGCTGAGACTGATCAAGATGCGGCTGCGTCGGAGGCACAGGCATCGTGTAACTGCGCAAAGGCACTCCGTTGAAGTTGTAGGGATGGCTGCCGTGATGCGAGACGGTGTTGGACATCATTCCAACATTCGGCATAGAAAGCCTCTTCATCGCCTGGTACCTAGCCTGCTGTGCTTGAATCGTAGCAATATTGTCCATACCCGCTTGCGTCATCGGCCAGCCGGCGACGCTTCCTCCCGAACTCGACGAGCTGTTTGTCGTCAAACTCGGTCTATGAGCATTAACTCCAGCCCCCCTCAAAGTTCCGCCCATGTCGTACTGTGCGCCCATGTATACGTGGTGCTGCGTGGGCGAGTTTGGCTGTGAGCACGCGGGTGAAGACTGGTTGGAAGGTGGTCGGTTGATGAATTCGCAGACGTGGTTTGCTTTGGCGCAGTGATTGCACTTGTTCTCGAGGTGGCCTACCGCACCACTGCAACGGATCTTTCTGCGACGGCATCTTTGACACTGTGGCAACACGCAACATATCAGCGCACATCCCACACACCTCACTCGGAAGGCCTCAAAAAACTTACAGCAACATCAATCCTGTGTCTCGGGGGCTCAACATCCTTTGGTGGAGTAGGTTTGCCACGTCCTGCCCATCCGGGGCTCATACCCGTCCCGGGCATAGCATTCATCCCACCCATCCCCATCCGATCACGCTCATCCAACATACTCGAATAACTCCCAACTCCAGTCTGCGCCAACAACGCGCCCACCGTCCCTGCCTGCGGTACTCGCTGCGCATAGCCAAAGCTCGCGAGTCGTGCCTGGAGATGTTGCTGTTGCTTCATCTGTGCCGCGAAACTCTCGCGAAGAGCTTGGTGTTGTGCGTATGCCGCGTTCCCATGGACGTTGACATTGGGCTGTGGTACGTTTATGTTGTAAGCCGGGTTGTATGCTGGTGCGTGTATGGGTGCGCCTGAGCCGTCGAAGCCGGATGTGGATGGGACGGTCTCTGCATGGTACAGTTGTTGTTGCTGTGATTGCTGCTGACTGTCTGAATACTGCTGATACTGGTCTGCCGATGACATGTTCTGCTGGTGGTGGAATGTATGCTGTTGACAGTAGCAAGGGAAGCAGTGATTCGGCAGGATGGACCCCTTTACGTAGGCTGCTTGCTGGCTGGCTTATGTGTGTGGTGACTTACTTTACCACATTGAGCCGGCCTAGGCATAGGGCGATGTAAGACCAGCTGGAGACGTCTGCTTGCTGCGAAGAGGGAAAAGTACAAATCGCCGGTCTCACAAGCCGCCACGCGAACCCGATTACACTGCGCCTATCGGACCAGACGGAGCAGATGCCAACGCAGCAGCGTGAACAGCAGAACCCAGTCATCTCTACAAGTTTTTCCAGTCGAAAAAAGCAACCGTTTTCCTTCCGGTCTAGACCGAGCTGAGCTGCCACGGCCGCGTGCAATTTCCACCCATGCAGTCACGATGTCCCTAGCCGGTGCCGGTGCCGGGTGATAAGGTTCGCCTGCGTAAGAGGTTCGCCTGTCACGCATGCGCCTGCAGCTGTCGACGGGTAGAGCGGGAGCTGGACTGCTGATGCACGCAAAGGAAGGGGCGCGCGCTTACGTAAGGGAGGCGAGGCAGTGCTTGGTGTACGCTCGGAAGGTGAGGACGGAGCTCGAGGAGGAAGATGTAGAGAGATGCGCGACTCTCGGGAGTATAGAGCCCCCGGGCTTATATTGATCGACATCGGCGTAGCGTGCCGTGTTCCCGAGAAGCAACGAAGGTCGAGCTTGGCTGGATTTATCCGTTCACTTTACAAAAACACTATCGATCGAGAAGTGGATATATGTCTTTACGTAGACACGAATATCGTCGTCCTTACGTCTGTGGCTCTCGTATTCAGCTCAAAGGCGGTGAAAAAGGAAACCGTTACCTGCCCATACTCAGACCTCCCAGAGGTTCTGGAGCGCTTACTCATGCTGAGCTCAGCTACACGAAGACTTGCGGCCGCGCGCGTGAACTCGATGAAATCCCAACAAGCTTGCAATTGACACTCGCTCAGCTGCGGACCCTTGGAAATCGAGCCACATGTGCTCGCGCGCAGCTCTTTGTATGAAGGCAGTGATGTCATCGCATAACCGGTGCTTCTTAGTAATCCTCTTCTAACCACCAAACAGAGCTGCAGGAGTTGAGCCCGTGAGTAACATGATCATGATTGATCTACAAGCGTCAAAGACGACGACCCTCCCATAGCCTTGATAACAAACTCCGCCGTCTCTCTTACCATCTCCGGTGTAACCTCATGTCCAACCCCCTCGTACACCTTAATATACTTCTCAATCTCCGGGTCCCTCCTTACCTTCCCAACAAACTCATCCGAACAATCCCACGGTACGAGTTGATCCGCGCCGCCACTGAGTACACATACGCTCTTCCCATGTAATCTCTCCAAGCCATCTTTCATCGCTGCCGGGTCGAGTTCCTTCAGAGTCTCGAGGAGAGATTTAGGGATATGCGGGGCGGAGAAAGGAAGGTTGGACGTCCCGGTACGGTGTCTCATCAACTTCTCATAATCCGGGCACCCAATAATCACATTTAGGCGGTTGGGTTGTTGGTGCGCGATGCTTGGCTGCAGTACCCTTCGGCCCTGAATGCTCACCCTTCAAGGCGGCAGAGTAATCCATCCAGTCCACGGATACTGGCCCCAGCCTCTGATCGATTTGTGGAGTTTGCTTCTCGTTGTCGTTATCCGCTTGTAAAGTAGCCTTCGTCGGCGTCGCTGGCGTGGGAGGAACTCCTTTCGATTCCTCCTTTGGCTTCACAGAGAGCTTCGGCGGTCTCGCGGCTTTCTTCCCAGCGAAATAACTTGCTCTCCTACCTCTCAAAAGCCCAAGCCCAATGCCGCAACTGTGATGCGACGGTAACTTCTCGAAGATATCCTTGGGTATATGCGACTCCTGTGTCGCCGTTGTTTGCCGGATGATCTCCGGATGAATGCTTTGTAGTTGTTCGAGAACTTTGGGAGAGGAGGTAAATGCTGATACGGGGTATAACTCGAATGTCAGGTGAAAGGGCATTGCCCTCCTTCAAAGGATGGTGGAGTGTTTTGGTGGTCGTGTACGCGTGGGTGCGTTCGCGGTCGCGGGTTCCTGATTCCGCGAGATCCCCGCTCCAGTGCCCGTGAACTCACCACCATCGACTACAATGACCTCACGAGCTGAATTCACTATTGCCGGACTGACCACCCACGTCTATGGCCTCGAGAACCTCTCCAGCACTCCCCGCGAACTGAGCGTGCTATTCTTCCTCCACGGACGCCTTGGATACGCCCTTGAACCCCGTTACGAAGCGCCCGTTCATGCGATCCTCAAGGCTCATGCGGACGCGAAGAAGGAAGGCCGGGTACAAAAGGATCTAGTGATCGTCACCTTCGACCAAAGGAACCACGGCCACAGAAAGGTATGCTGTTTGTATTGAGGCATATGTACGTGTACTCTTTACTGACGAACGAACAGATCCACGACCTCCCAAATCTGACCTGGACAGAAGGTAACGCCCTCCATGCTCAAGACATGTTCTCCGCCCAATACGGCACCGCAACCGATGTCTCCCTCCTCATCCGCTTTCTCCCTTCCTATCTGTTTCCGAACGATGAGAGGAGGGTTGCGGAGTGGATGTGTGCCGGGATCTCATTGGGTGGGCATGCAACGTGGATTGTGTTGGAGCACGAGAAGAGAGTGAAGACGGGGATGGACAATTTATCCCCATCAACGATGCTGGAAGGGGCCTAGAATCCGGCACGGCTGAGCTTGGCATCGGAATTGTTCATCTATACCGCAGTGAAGATGATGAACCTCCTGTCCCTGAAGCCCTCTCCGCAGGTCAAAATATGACGGAAGAAGACAAGGTTGTAGCGATCCTCGCCGTGCCGAGTTATATGACAGCGTCCGATTTCCTAGGATTTTTGACTCCGGAGGCTCGAGATGGTGTCTCGCATTTCCGAATGATTCGCACGGCGGCACCGAATCGATATATGGTCCTCATGAAATTCCGAGAAACAGAGGCCGCGAAAGCTTTTCAAGCAGCTTACAATGGCCGACCCTTCAACTCCATGGAACCCGAAACCGCACACGCCGTCTTCATCAAATCAATCACCTTCCAATCCTCAACATCCCCGCCACCCTCTTTCTCCTACCTCCTTGACGATCCCTTCACGCCCGAATCATCACCCCCGGGTACCGGAACCGGAACCGTCATCCCAACCCCACCACACTCGAAACCACCACCGCCGCCTACCCCTGCCCTTCGAGAACTTCCCACGTGTCCAGTATGTTTAGAGCGTATGGACGCATCTGTGACAGGCCTCCTCACAATTCTCTGCCAACACACCTTCCACTGTCAATGTCTGAGCAAATGGGGTGACAGCACGTGTCCCGTATGCCGGTACTCCCAAAAGAAAGACGTCGCAACCCAGTCCTCCGAGGCATCCCGCTGCGGCTCCTGCGGCGCCGTCTCAAATCTCTGGATCTGCCTGATTTGTGGGAATATCGGATGTGGGCGATATGACGAAGCACATGCCTACAGTCACTACGTCGAGACGAATCATCTATACGCGCTGGAACTTGAAACACAGCGAGTATGGGATTACGTGAATGATTCCTATGTCCACCGTCTCATCCAAAACAAGGCGGACGGGAAATTGGTCGAGCTACCATCTGCCTCCTCAACGGGTCCGGGTATGTACGCGCCTGCACCACAACCCGGTGATTATGTCCCGAGGGATAAATTGGATGCGGTGGGGTTAGAGTATACGTATCTTCTCCAAAGCCAATTGGATTCACAGCGGCAGTATTATGAGGATAAACTACTTACGGCGGTGGATAAAGCCTCGAAAGCTACGGCGGATGCGGAGAAAATTAAGACAAAGCTGGACGAGACGACGACGGCGTTGTCTGTGCTTCAAGTTGAGCATGCGACGCTGACGAGAGAAATATTACCCAAGTTGGAGAGCGAGAAGACTAAGGCTGAAGCAAAAGCGGGGAAGCTGACGGATATGGTGCGGACGATGGAGAAGGAGTGGAGGGAGGAGAAGAGCATGAATAAATCCATCCTGGAGCGCGTCGATTTCTTGATGAAGGATAAGGAAGAACGGGATAAGGAGTTAGCAGAGATGAGGGAACAAGTGACGGATTTGATGATGGCATTGACGATGAGAGACAGAGTGGAAGCAAGTGGAGAAGGCGTTGGCGGTGACATCGAAATCAGGGAAGCACCGAAGCCGAACAGAAAACCACGAAAGAAGAAATAAACAGGACGGTATTTAGATTCCTAGCCTAAAAGACATCTTTTCCCACTATGGATTTCCGGTCTACTTTTAAGCCTCACGGTTGTCCACAATCGCCTCAAAAGAAAATGGCGTAAACGCATACCCATTTCCTTCAAAGTGCTTAGACATAGCCTCAACCCAGTGCAAACGCAACGAATGCAACATAGCCGAAGTACCCTCCATAACGACCAACACCGCAACAGTTAACACAAACCACATGGTGAACATGACGACGAGCGCGATGACACCCGTCACACCGGACATACTGAGGGCGTTACCGAGCGACATGTCCCACAATACGACGGACAACTGGTTATGCGCGAGAGACAAAGCCCAGAGACGCAAGTAAGAAGCGGTATGCGAGACACATCCAAGGCAAAACTCGATCGTGTGGATAACCTGATGAATCATAACCTCACCAAACTCAAACTCCTCCTCCTCATGCATCTCCTCAGAGATGACAGCACCGGCCAGCTCATCGTCATCGTCGTCAGCAGCGCTAACGCGTTGCTGGGAACCGTGGGTAGTAGGCAATCCCTGGTATCCAGCCGCACGAGCACGGTTGTGTTCCCAGCGGAGGTACATGGGCTTCAAAAACAACAACCACGGAACACAAATCAACGCGATCATCAACAAGATCTTCTGCACCGTAGCTTGACCCCTGTAAAGCGGCTCATCCACCGTACCGGGAGACAAAAACATGTAAATAAGCATGTTTAACAAACCGGGAGGAGCCCAGTCGGTGGTGGACCAGTCAACGCACCACTTGTAGATGATGGTGATGACGAGGTATCCAAAGATGGACTGCAAGAAGAGCATGGACGGGATAAAGTTCGCCCAGATATCGAGCGGAGACTTGAAGAAGCGGTGGTTGAAGAAAGACAAGCAAAGCGAGAAAGTCATGTGAATAACACCAAGAATGACAGACATCTTCATCTTGTAAGAGTTGGTGAACAAGAGCGCGTTGTCAGTTCCGTGCCACGCGGGGTCAAGACCGACGGGGTATACGCCGACTTGGTGTGCAGAAACCACATCACCAACCTCGAAGTGCTCCGGCCACCTCCATCCACTCTTCCAAATGAGCATACTCTTCGAGAACAAGTCGTTGTAGATAAGACCCGTGTACATCGAGAACGCACCCATGAGGAGAATGATGTAACGACCATAGTAAGCCATACCAAAGATCTCGCCGTAATCCACGCGAGCGAGGGACTTTTCGTACCAAATGAGAACGAAGGCAGCGGTGAACATGATGAGACCGTGACCGAGATCACCGAACATGATAGCGAACAAGAACGGGAAAGTGACGATAGCGATGAGACCAGGGTTGACCTCGCGGTAGGTGGCGATACCGTACGAGTCGATGATACTCTGGAAACCGGAGGTGAACTTGTTGGTGCGGTGGAAGGTAGGAGGCGTCTTGGTGGTGTGCAAAGTGTTGAGGATGATGGGGACCTGAGATCCGGCATGGTCCGTGACATCCCTCAAAGCATTCTGCACGAGACCTAGGTTCTCGGTGGGACACCATCCCTCAGCAATGAGCGTCTTGCGGTTCTGGTCGTAGTTGAACAAGTTGAGGGTGTGGTAGATAGCTTTCTCCTTCTTGACAATCGTCAACCAGCTCGTAAGAGTCTCAGCAATCATGCGGAGCTCAGCATACATCGTATTACGCGTATTGCTCAACACAGCATTAATATCATCAAGACGCGTATTAACCTCCTCAACCTGACGCCTCCTCTCCTGCGGATCCTCATCAACCTCATACAAATCTGCACCCAACGCCTCCGAGATCTTCCGGATCTTGGACAAGATCTGAGGACCGTGAGCGAAGATGATGAAGACGTTTTTCTCGATTTGTTCTTCGGTTGTGGGGTCGACGATGGGTTCCTCGATTTCGGATTGGTTCATGTAGAGGTTACCGCGGAGGGTACGCCAGAGGATACGCTCGAAGGCGTTGACGCGGGTGCGGGGGATGACACCGGTGACGAAACCAATGGTCATGGCGGACCTCTGGTTCTGCTGGCCGTCTCCAACGCCGTCACCTTGTTCGATATCGGCGGCGTTGTCGAGAAGAGGCGCAGTGTCGACGTCGGTGGAAGAACGGATCTGGTCCTGCTGTCCGTGGGCTCTATCGAAGAAGACACCGGTCTCCCTCAGGACGTGGCGAAGCTCGACGAGCTCGACATAACGCTTCTCCAAAGTCTCAGTAGACTCATTGAGATGCTTCAAGCGTTGCTCATACTGAGACGTCTTCTCAGACAACTGATCGATTTCATTGGAAGAAGGGGCACGAGTGTTAACAGCACCCTGAGGCACCGCCTTGACCTGAATGCCGTACTTCTCGCACTGAGCCCCAAAGTAACGAAGCTGACGCTCCATCTCATCAACATTTCGGATCTCCTTGACGAACGAACGCTGGAAGGCGGAGACCTCAGAGTTGAGGTCACGGAATTGGATAGTGCCAAGCTCACCGAGGGCAGATACGGCGGGACGGGAGAGTTCTGATGGAAGGTAGAGTTGCACCAAGGAGACGGGCTCCGAACGGAAGAGCGTCCGGTGCGGCATCTTTGATGAAGATGCTTCTCGATGGGATTGGAATGGTTTTGGTGGTGAGTTGCGTAGGGCTTGCGCTGGCAGCCGCCGAGTGACGTGTGGTGGGTCACGTGCCGAGGCGAGTCGATACCGTGAGCTTGTCAGCCCATGGCCAGGCCAGGTCTGACAGGAGAAGGCAGATCGTTAACTTCCGCCGGCCTTCCTGGGCTGTAAATGTGAACCTTTGTATTTGTCTCACGCCCGTTATCTACTATCTACCCTTCGAGGGGCTTAAGCACGATATACCAGGTCGGTTTCGGAGCACAAATGAACAGCTGCGTCAAAAACGACTTTGAAATTGGACGGGGTTCGAAACACTTGGCTTATCGTGGCGCGACGTAACGGCGGCGCCTTGAGCCCGGGCAATTTGCGGGAAGAGCTTCACACTCGAGCCGCCTGTTCATCGACGGCCTGGTAACGCTGGCGAACCGTGCATGATGTCTATGGGACGGGAAGTCGCACTGATCCACCGCGGCTCGGCTGCGCTTTTGAGCGAGTTGGAAGCGGTGGGGCCCACGGAGAGTACGGAGAGTACCCTGCGAGGTTTCATGCCCGCAACAAGGTGAACGTTGGAACAACCCGCACCGAACGTGTCTCCAGTCCGCGACACCAACAGCACAGACGCCGAAAGGATAACAGCGTACTACGACCTCGCATCGGTCCTTTCTCCTTATTTTCGAGACGAATTCAACGGCCTTCGGTTTCTCCGACTCAAAGGCACCCTGCGGCACTCACTGCAGGCGCGCAATCTCAGGGAAATGAAGGGCATACAAGGGTACCCCGGTACACCACACTTTATGGGAAAGTCAAGCTGTTGCCGTCATGAAACAGGGGAACCAAGCGGATTTTCGCCCTTATAGTCCAACATCCTCCCATCCTCCTCCTCCACTTGGGATGAAGTCATCGCTTCGACCTCTTCGCCTATCCAACGTCGTCAAAGCGCTCCTCTCAGCTCGTCTATCAAGAGCACAGTCCGCCAGCATACAACCGGTCGCTGTTCATAGCACTACTTTACTATCCATCAATTCGCCACCTCAAAGTCGAGGCAGGCCTCAGCGTATCATCTCATCTCGTCCATCAATAACATCAACACCCTGAAAGATGGCCTCAACTCCGGACTCTATGTCTTCTTTGGTCTCCGCTGCCGACTACGTGAGCAGGCCTCGCCACCGCAAAGCTACGGATGCCAACATGGACATTGGAGAGCTCGTTCAGCACAGCGAGGAAAGGAGTTCGTCTCCTGATGATCATGATGAGGAGGAGGAGGAGGAGATGTACGACGGAAAGCCATATCCTTGTACATGGGAGAAGTGTGACAAGGAATTCAACCGCCGGTCCGATCTCATTCGCCACTACCGCATTCACACCCAAGAACGTCCCTATGCATGTCCCTGGAAGGACTGCGGTCGTGACTTCATACAACGATCCGCTCTCACCGTTCATCTTCGCGTCCACACTGGTGAGCGTCCTCACGCTTGCCAATGGCTCGGTTGTGGTAGGACCTTTGCAGACTCGTCTTCATTGTCTCGCCACAAGCGGATCCACACTGGTAGCCGACCTTATGCCTGCGAATGGGAGGGCTGTGAGAAGAGCTTCTGCCGCAAGACTACCTTGACGAAACACATCCGCCGTTGTCATACCGAGCCTGACATTGCTCTTCTAACACCGCTCAAGGGTTCTGCTCAGAAGTCTGCTCTTGTCCGCGATCACATGGCTCGTTCCGCTGCTGGTCAGCACAAGTTCAGAATCAAGAAGGAAAGGTCCCTTCGTGGCAGCAGACCCGGTTCGAGTTACACCAATTCGGTTGAGGAAGAAGAGGACGTGGAGGAGCAAATCAAGCACTTGTCCCCGGAGGAGAAAGCTGCCATCCACCGCAAAAGATACTTGGAAGCCAAGGCTTGCCACGAGGAAGAGCAGAGGAGGGATGCCCGCGCCTACTCCTCTCCTCACCCAACTCGCGTGGTGAGGCAAGACACCCAAAGCCCTTTCGTCGCTCAGGAGCGTGTCACTCACATCAACACTCCCTACTCGTACAACCACAACGGGGTGAACAGTAACACGCCGATGCAACCCAACCCAGTCAGCGCTACTCGCTACTCGCCCTACGCTTCTCAAGGGCCCTTCCGCCCTCCGCCGCCTTACCCGCAGAGCGGATCATATCTCATGACTCCTCCCGTCCAATCCTACGACAACGCTGGTCCTCCTGGCATGTATCAGCCACGTCCCCTCCTTCCTCCTCCCATCCAGTTGCAGGTGCCGCCGCCGGTTCCGGGTCAGCAGCGGGCACAGATGGGATTTACCTTTCCGGCCAATTTCTCGACGCAGCCTCCGAACAACCCGAGCAGGGCGTTGTACGCGTTGGCACAGGCTGCCGTTCCGAGTCCCGCCATGGAGCCTGTTCACTGGAAGCCGCTTGAGAGGATGACGAGCACCAGTGGTCAGAGGGGGCCGAGTCATTTGCCGGGACAGGGTCTCGGTATTAGCTTCTAGATGAGATTCAAGACGAGATTCAATATAAGAACGTTTCTGGTTAGATGTTATTGAAAGGTTGCCTGCTGGATATTTTTCTTTTGTTTCGTTGTTCTTTTGGGTTTATCACATCATATCTTAGGACGCTTTGCTTAGGATTGCAATTGGGTAATACGCGATGCTTTTGATTCATTACAAGTTCTCACAGTAATCGTACAGTACTAAGGAATACTCATCACACCGATAGAAGCTGCCCAAAGTCCTTGGGGCACACCCTTCGTTTCCTCACTTCTCGCGCCCTTTTCGCCTGAGCCTCAGTTGCCGACCCACAAGCGTCCGTTGTCAGTAATCTCAGGACCATCCCAGACAAGAGGAACACTGGTGTCATACGGCCTCTCAGGCCAAGCATTGTCCAAACCGTCCCAGACGGTAACATCGCTGTACTGCGCCGATCCATTCTTCACCATCAATCCGATCTCATTACTGTCCTGGAGGTAAGGATAAATCCTCGTAGTCAACGCCAACACATCATTCGCAAAAATCTCAAGGATACTGTTATCCACGAAGATACGAAGGTCCAACTTCTCGCGTTCACCGTTGATCTCCCAGAGACGGAACTTGGTCTGGATGGTGGTGTTGGTGATGTAGGGACTGTAAATGGAGGACTGGTCGCGGTCAACGTAGAGGTATTCTTCGGCGGCATCGTACCAGATGGACGTGTACTCACAGAAACCGGACTGGGATTTGCGGAGGACGACGCCGGCAGCGGCGGAGGGGTCCTTGGAGAAGTCAATGCTAAGCTGCATCTCGTAGTTCTTGGTGACGGCGCTGTAAAGGGACTTGTATCCGAAGCCATCGTCAACGAAATCGGCAACGGCACAGACAGCCTGAGCAGGGATCGTGGAGCAGACCGAGGTGTTGCGCAACGACTCGAGCCCGGAGATGGGCCTCTGACCAAGGGTCTCGACAGTGTAGGATCCGTTGGACTCCTTCTCGTAAGTCCAAGCAGCCCTCTCCTCGACTTCAGAGGCAAGGTTGGTGACACCAGTGATAGTCTTCACGAATAGCTCACGGGGGAGAACGAGCGCACCTTGCCAGCCCTGAGCGAGGATTCCGTAGTTGTTCAAGTCTTCCGGCGTCCATGCCATCATGACTCGTCTGTTCTCCTTGGTGTCCCAGAAGCTGTTCTGGGCGTAGGAGTTACCATTGTCGACGATACCAACGGCGCTAGTATCCATAATAGCACTACCATTGCTGCTCTTCGACATGGATCCAGTAGCAAACAAAGCGTAGTTACCATTTCCAGGCTCACGACCTCCCTGGGTACCGAAAGTGCTGAAGAAATGAGTCTGGTTGCTCTCATCCCGAAGCGTGAACAAACCACCCATCTCGAAATTGACACCCCAGCTACCTGACCACTCCTCGTTCCAAGTAGTGTTGGCTTCGGGGTAGAGGAAGGGACCCAACCAACTCCATGAGGTAAGGTTGGAGTCGTCGGCCTTGTAGAGACTGAGCCTGGGGCCAACTTGCTGGATACCTCCGGCAATGGGGCAATAGACCTGCTCCGGGTCATCGCCGATGATGGCGGCAAGGGCAGGATCACGGAAGAGGAGGGGATCACGCCATCCGGTGATGTTCCAGCCATCGGGCTCACGAGGGATGACGGGGTTGTATTCGTCAACCTTAATCCAGGTCACACCGTTGTCGGGAGTATAGGCGAGCGACTGAGACTCGACACCAGAGTTGTTCGCCTGAGCCCAGTTGGTGGCATTGGTCACACTGGTGTACATGCTGGTAATGTATCCCATGTATCCATTCTCGATAGCACCTCCGGAGAACACACCCTTGCTGTCATACTCGGTAGACGGACCCAACATGAGCGGGTTGTACGGGTCTCCAATATCGTAGTAATGAACGAGATCAGGCGAGAAAGCGTGGGCATCAGAGATGTTTCCCCAGTTGACATGGGCATGGTGGTACTGATAGCCAACATGGTACATCCCACGGGTCTCATCGTAGTACAACGAGACCGGGTCGTTCTGCCATGAGTTCGGCGCCTGAGCGTGAAACTTGGGACGCCAGGTATGGAACTCGGAGTTGTTGGCGGCGACGGTGAGGTTGGGAATCACACCGCCGGTGGTGATGAAAGCTTGACAAGTTGGAGAGTCGGGCCTGCTGCATCTCCCGGCGGAGACTGTACCGAGGAACCCGGCGATGAGGGTAATCGAGGCGAACATTGCTGTGGTATTGGCTGGGGATTAGTCGGTAAGAAGGGACATCCCTCGGTCTTTATAGCCTCGAACTGACCGGATCAGAACTCACTGACCATAACCAAAAGTGGGGTAGGTAGCATGCCTAGCCGGCCGTCTAACAATGCCCACGCTCGTCTCATACAAGCAGGGATCCTTAAACCGGGTCCATGGGCCAACCTTTCTCTTCCGTCAGTGGGCGCTGATCAGTGTGGGACCCCCATGGAGACCCCGCGGAAAGCCACATGTCCTCCATTGAGATGAGGTCCCGGCAGAGGCCCGAGGCCTGACAGATCACAGCACTCCTCGAAGCTTCAAGGCAGAAGGAAGAGTATCAAACTATCAATTGCCATTGGAAATCATTCTTCGCACCTTGAATGCGAAGCAAAAGAGCCGACAAGACCTTCAAGCTCGAGGTGAACAGCAAGACCAGCCGACGCCCGCAGACCGAGAACGCCCCGGCCCTCCAGCCATGTCGCTTCTGCCATCTCCAAATGTTCAAGGATGACGTGTAATTTCGGGAAAATGGTCCTTAAAATCCGGACAAGGCGCCGAACTTCACAGATGATTGGGTGTCGGTGTGTTTTCGGTCGTGGGGGGTGGATCAGGGTTGATTTCCGGAGACCTCGAAATGTGGGGTGACCTGGGGAAAGGCCTGAGATCGCGGAAAGTGATTCGTAAGAGAGATTTGCCGAAGGAATGTTCTGATTACGATCACAGATGATACCTGAGGACTAACACTCCCGGATTCTGAGGTCGACGGTAGAAATGCAACTGACGTATATTTTGTCGTAAATCACCAAAAAATGCCCATTCTCTACACCTCATCCTCTACTCCGCAAACTTGAAACTTCTAGTAACCATATCAATCTTTCCACCCTTGAAGCTACCCCTCTTCTTCTTGTTTTTCTCAGCGGTAAACCTCTTTCCTCTCGTCACCAACAAATCCTTGCTCGCCCGTGCTCCGTACGTAGCCTCATCGAATGCATGTGCGACCTCGTACGAGTTGTCCTTCAAGGAATCATCGGCGTAAGAGATCTCGTCCATCTTGATGCGGGAGAAGCGCTCTCCGGGTTGCTTGGTGCCGGGAGGTAGCTTGACGGGGACGTCGAGCTTGACCCGCTTTGCAGGTTTCTGGTCCTCGGTCTTCTCGTCCTTCTCGGATTCTGAGGAGGAGTCGGAGTCTGATGATGAATCTGACGAAGAAGAGCTGTTGGAGCTGGAGGAAGAAGACGAAGAGGAGGCGGAGGATGAAGATGAGGAGGATGCAGGTGAGGAGGATGAGGAGGCGTTGCTGCTGCTGCTGCTGTCTGAGTCATTGTCAGGTTCCGAGGAAGAGGAGGTGACAGCTGGTGTCGAGCTGTCACTGACGTCGCTGTCGCTGTCAGAGTCGGAAGCATCGGAGCTGGAGTCAGAAGAAGAAGAGCCGGAGGAGGAGGAGGAGGAGTCGGAGTCAGAGTCGGAGTCGGAGTCAGAATCCGAATCACTGCTCTCAGAATCACTCTCATCCCCAGAATCCGAATCGCTCTCGGAGTTCTTCGCCGTAGTAGCCGCAGTAGACTCGGCCTTCGCGTCGGTCATTTCCTCATCACTGTCGCTAGAGCTGTCGTCGCTCGAACTGGACTCATCCTTCTTCAATGTAGTGCTGGAATCGGCGTCAGACTCAGCAGTCTTGGCCTTGTAATCCGTCCATGCCTGGATAAGTGCGTCGGCGTCGGTGGAGGTAAGGTCGCCGGATGCTTCCTTCGCGAGAGCCTTTGCGGTCTTAGGGAGTGAGTTGGACTCGAGGAATGCGTGGATCGCAGAGAGAAGGTCGGCAGGGAAAGTCATCTTGGCCGGAATTGACATTTGGAGGATTTGGAGGTTTCCGCGTTATCGCCGCCAGATAAAAAGTTGGGCTTGGCACGTGCAAACCTTAACCGGAGTGCTGGGAAGAGAATACACAGAATCTGCCTGACCTTTCTGCTCAATTTGCCCAAGTTGTCTCCAGAAACATACCCATTTGCGACGGGCTGGGAGAACTGCCGGGGTTGCTGTGTACACCCGCGCTGGGCAGGGTCCCACGTATGTCATCAACAACTCAGAAGCATACAAACATTGTAAAGGCTCAACTAACCGCATGTCCGTCGCATCTCGTTCAGGAGACGAGGCAAAAGAGAGGATCAAGCGGTCACTATTCGCCGCACGATCCGAGGATGGCGAGGCTCTGGAGAGCTACATCCTTCATGTCAAAATCACCGAGGATGTCTACTACCCATCAACCCCGGCACCGCCTGGCTCAGATCCAGCGAATCGCAAAGTCAGATATATCGTCGTCGCAGTTCGACGTTCCGGCCGAGTTCTGATGCACAAGGCCCGAGAGAACTCCAATGGGACGTTCAGTGTCGGCAAGACATGGAACTTGGATGAGCTGAAGAAGATCGAGGATGGTCCAGGACCACAAGCCGAAATGGGCCCAGCATTCACAATAACTATGCAGAAACCATACTACTGGGTTGCTGATTCCAGGAGAGAAAAGATGAACTTCGTGCATGGGTTGGTGAAGGTGTTTAGGAAGTACACTGGAGGGAAGTCTCCGGACATGGTGGGATTCAATGACGATGTCGGAGGTAGGCAAGGTGCATCTCTCTTCCCGGAGCCATGCTAATATCTCCCTATAGTATCCTCAGCAACGCGGCAACCCAAACAGCAGACCTTGCCAACTTCAGCACTTCCACCACAGAGTCAACAGGCTCCTGTACGCACACAGGCCACTGCGCCATTACAGCCAACACAGCCATTACAAAGTTCCCGTCCGCCACGGCCACAAGTACAGATTCCGGTTACCTCATCTCGCTTCTACGAGGAGCCTGCTCAGCTGTCGGCTACATCCGCGACTTCGGTACAACCACCGCCGATGTCAGCAAAGAGCGAGTTACGAGCTCAATTCTCGCCTCAGCCTCAGCAGCAGGACTTTTCAAGAGCACCACAGTCTCCGTCTGCATCGACAATCGCAAGTGTTGCGACCAGCATCACGAGACCGTACGAAGTGCCACCTCCCAGACAGCAGCCGCCAAGGCAAGAGTTGGGTTACGTTGATTCGGCATCTACGACTTCAGCTACTTCATCGATTCTCACACCACTCGGCTACGTGGACTCTGCTAGAACACCTTCATCTCAAGCTGCTCCCGCGCGTACTCCGACATCACCGAATGCTCCAGGACCTACAACTGTTCGCGAAGTCAACACCACCCACCCAGATTACTTTAACACTCGACCACTCCAGCCTCATGCTGAGACGCAACCATTGCGTCCACCTGCTCAATCACCAGAAGGCCGATTGCAACGCCTTGCGCAGCAGCCTATGATGACACCACCGGTAGAGGTTGCTACGCCTCCTGCAGAGCAGCCCGAACCGCCTGCTCGGCAACCACCAGCTACCGCAGCCCCGGGAAGGATGTTGTCGGAAACGATTAGAAAGATTTCGGACCATCAGGCTAGGCCGCCTATTGATACAGCGGAATTAGCACCTGCAGCTCGACCAGAAGCTCCTTGGCAGCTTTCTGCTAGGGAGTTACGAGGTTTCGGTCCTCCGACTACTGCTCCGTTACAGGCAATGAAACCTATGATCGATGCTGCTGAGCCGGCGCGCGAGACGATACCTGTAGTCACGCAGAATGACCTTCCTAGGCAGCAAAGTGTTCCCAATATCGAAGAAGACAGGGCACGACCGCAAGTTGCTCCGCGTGCCCAGACGGTCTATCGTGATTATGCAGAGGCGGATGGTCAATTCGGTGCATATCAGCTTCCTCAGTCGGCAGCTCAACCTCAACAGCAGCACCGACCTATGACCGACGTTGTGGACCGCGACATGGGCGAATCACCTGGTGCGTCGAGTTCGCGTTTGGCCGGTGCTACGGGTACCCCTCAACTACCTGTCACGCCACGGAAGCTTGATGACGTTCGTGAGGAGGAGCCGGAGCCGGAGAAGCTTGCAAGTCCCATCGTGATGCCAAGCCCAGTGAAGCCGCTGCAGTCAGACAATACATTCATGCCTCCTGTGCTCGTTGCGGAGCAGCCTCCCCAGGAAGAACGACCGTTCACGCCTCCTCCGCGGAAATCATCGCCCATGCGGTCAAGATCGCCAAACAAGCGACGGAACCGCAGCTCGGTCACGTCGCTTGCGTCTTTTCAGTCTAGGCGACGGTCTTACATCCAGGTGTCTGAGAACAACGCTACGGATGGCTTGAATGAAGTAGAGAAGGTATTGGAGGACTTTGATTGGACTGCACTTGGTAATGCGGACCGGTTGGAGGAAACGTTGCGCGATGAATTGGCGGCTATCGAAGCTGCGAACAACCATGCTATTGTAGAAGGAGATGAGCGGATGTCTGACTTGCTTGCCAAGATTGACAAATCGGTCCTCGAGTGTGAGAATATGGATGCCATGCTTACGCTGTATGCCTTTGAGCTGAATACCCTCGCTGATGACATCGCGTACATCGAAAGTCAGAGCCGTGGTTTGCAGGTCTTCACAGCCAACCAGCGTGCTTTACAGTCAGAACTTCACAATCTTCTTGAGACAATTGTGATAAGACCCGAGCAGCTCGAATCACTGCAAAGTGCTTCTCTAGAGTCACCTCAAGGCCTCGCCACCGTCGAGAAGAACCTCGTGCCGCTGTACCAGGCGCTAAGGACTATGTCTACTCAAGCAGATGCTGTGAAGGCTGGTATGGGCGGGATGGGTGCAGTACAAGAGCGCCGTCAAGACTACGTTGCTGCAAGTGAGGAGTTCTTGCGACGTCTCACTCAGTTCATGATCATGAAATTCCAAGCTGGTGTCATCACCTACGTTCGTCCCAAGGACAAGTCTTCAAGGCAAAGGAAACCACAACTGTTGAGTCATGACGAAGCCTACACCCATCTTTATCGTTATGCTCCTCTGATGCTCTACGCGAAGGAGATTAATGCGCAGAGGTTCGCCGACTTGCAACAGCACTATGTCAAGCCCGTCAAGGCGGCATACTCCACTGACTGTGCCGAGTTCATTGACGCATACCGGACTATGACTCGCAAGGCTACGCAAGATGAGAATGAGATGACATTCACTGGTGCGAGAGAAGCTGCCATGCAGAGTACGGTTGCCACTATGCGTTCTGCTACCCTCAAGCGATCAGGTACTGTGGCTCGTAACCTCCGTGCACCCATTGAGGAAGCGTTGGGTCGTGAAAAGGATCGCGACCAAGAAGGGAAGGTCTATGCCCACGAGGTTATTGCCTCGATGTTTGACGAGATTATGCCAATCCTCATTCAGGAGCAAAACTTCTTGGTGAAGCTCTTCCATCTTTCTTCTGTATCATCAGACAGTTACGCCGATTATGTCGAGCATCAGGCTGGCCGTGAGTTGAACCTGAAGGATCTGAATCAGTTGAAGTCGAAAGACACAGACAGGACCATTGCAAGGGTATTGTCGGACGTTATGGATCAAGCGTTCGGTTTCTTGCGCGACGACATGCGAACATTTGCCGAGTGGTGTACGAACCTGGACAAAATTCAGTGTGTCGGTATCCTCAAAGTGCTTCAGCTACACCTGTCACGCGTGATGGACACCGATCACGAATTCGCGATTGTGTTCCTTATGAAGCTGTGCGAGCGCATTGAGGGTATCCTTGCTAGATTCATCCAAGAGCAGATCAGGGCCATTGAAGAAACCAAGGTGAAGGGCACGAAGCGAAAAGGAGTTGTCCTGTTCTTCAAGGTCTTTCCGGACTTCGCCAATCGTATCGAGACGCAACTTCAAGGCGAGGGCGTACACAACCTGGACATCCGCCTAACCGTTAACGATAACTACGAGAAGATCAACAAGGCAATGTTCGAGTCCCTCAAGCGTATCGCTCGGGAACTTCCTACTGCGACCGGAGGACCCGTTGACCCTGAAGACAAGGAGCAGCTGAACTACGCTGTCACGATGGTCGAGAATATGCATCATTACGTGCAGGCCGTGGATACGCGTGGGATAGATATCCTGGAGGATTACAAGTTTAACGCTCAGTCTTCTTACAAGGAGAACTTGTCGCTGTACATCAGGAGTGTCACCCGACGTCCTCTTGGAATCCTTCTCAACTTTGTCGAAGGCGCAGAGTCTCTGATCCAGGCAAACCCTGCTGAGGACATCTCCGCTCGGGTCGCCTATTCGAAGTCCGCGATCAGAAAGCTTCTCGCTACTTATGATGCGAAGGAAATCCGGAAGGGTGTCGATGCTCTCTACAAGAGAGTTGACAAACACTTTGGAGAAGATGAGGAGGGCTCTACGCAATTGTTCACACTTGTCTGGAAGGCGATCCAGGATGAGTACTTCCGGATCACTGACAGAACGACCACTTTGGTTGCGAGATATCGGGATCCAGCGTTGCAGATGGGATGGGGCAAAGGTGACATTTCTTCGGCGTTTTCAAGGAAACTCTAACATATCCTAGCATTTTAATACATTCATGGTGAACTCTAGTTTTCAGAACAGGGGCGCAGGGCAACCTTCGCGGTCGTTGCAGTTGACGCGATGATGCCACAACGGTTCAGACCCGTACAGCATCCTTACGTCAGGCTCCGCGCTCGCGACATGAAAGACATAAAGCCGGATATCTCCACAGACCGCCCAATCTACCACATACCACACATCAATTGAAGACGATGACTGATCTTAAGCAATTCGCTGCTGAGCAAGCTGATGCCGCCAACGCGAAGGTAAGAAAGCCCGGCCCTGGTCAGCATTGGAATTGTTCTCACGCTCACACTGCTCGGTAGGGCAACTACCAAGCCCCGAAGGAGATGAAAGCGAACCAGAAGGGTACAATCATCGCTGACGAGAGCAACGTTGATGAAAGCGGCGTTGCCAACGTCCCCGGAGCCGACCCTGCGGATGTCAAGGTCGGACGCAGTGGCCTTGGAGCTGGAGGAGGTGATAACCAGAAGATCCCCGTCGAGGAGGGCGGAGGATCTTGGGGACCAGGAGCCGGTCGTGACGTGACTGCGGACGACTTTGAAGGTCACCGTGGTCCTGAGGACAAGGCTAGGGCTCATGCCGCTATGCACGGCGGTGACAACGATGTTCGCAGCGTGAGTAAATCCCTTTCACGGCGTTTCCCTCCGATGAGACTAACATCACTACAGAACCTCCGTTGAGCAACAACAGGATATACACACGGCTAGTCACTGTGCGTTAGCAGGAATTGCATGTACGATAGGAATGAGGATGGCATTTTCGCATTATCACTATTATCCTATAACCGACCAAACCCCCGATGTTTTGCGCCAACCCAAAAACTCCTTTGTAGCCCATGATCCAAGTCTGAATATGTCTAATCGTCTTGCTCTCCTTTGAACAAGATTTTCTTGACCACCACCTTACCCGATCTTCCGATCACGGGGGTAAGTGGTTCCTTCGCATCGACTGGATTGCCCATCTCGTCAAGTCGTACCTCCTTGGCGATACAGCCCTTGCCAGGACCCTTCTCCTTAGCCGTCCTTGGGCTACTGTGCATCTTCTCTTCATTGTCCACTTCATCGTCGTCAAGTTGCGGACCCCAACGGATGCGCTTCTTCGAAGGTGTCGGTCGCACGAAGGGCCAGGGCTCATCGTCACCAGGACCCATGGTGAGGCCTTCTTGACCCTTCTTCTCCAAGAGCTTTCTACGCTTTGCACGAGCCTCCACGGCCATCTTATGCTGAGCCTTGGCATTAGGTGACGGCGGCCTAGGCACATCCTTCTTGACAACAACTCGTTCAAAGTCGCAGCGATACAAGCGGTTCTGATGCGTATTCTGCCGCGTCGCTTTCGTGATCTCAGCCGGCGTGAAGTACACCATAGAACGAGCAGGCGTTGACGTCGAAGAGGCAAGAGCACTAGCAGATGCAGTTGGCGCAATTACCGGCGTAGGCAGCCTGGATCTCCGGGAAGGAAGGGATGTGGAATTTGACAACGTCGGAATACCGGATGCCTTTGCTGCTGCAGGAGTGGCAGGTCGCTTGCGTAGAGACCTTTCAGGTGCTGCCACTTCAGGTTCGGAGAGAGCGGCTTTCTTCGCTGACGACGCGGAGACCTTTTTCCGCGATGGAGAACCTAAACCACTCAAACTGGTGGTCACTGGACGCTTCAACGACCGAGGTGACGCGGGCACGTCGGTTGCTGCCGACAAACTAGTGGGAGGGTGCAAAGCAAGCTTTGGTGGAGCAGCGGTTGGGACGGTGCGAACTGGATTCACTCTCCGTGATGGCGAACCCAAGCCAACTTTGCGCGGACTAGGGCTGGGCACTCGTAAGGCACCACTGGAGAGAACGCTCTCTGTCGTGAGAGTCTTCCTCAATGGAGTGGTAGCCTGAGCCGGAGGACGAGCGGCCGAGACACTTGCACTGGGTAATGAGACCGATACCGAAGCGGGTACTACTACACGGCGCGAGCCAGTGAACCCAGGCCCTGGCAACCGAGATCGTGGAGCAACTTCACGCGTTGATCTTAGCAGCGCCGACGGTGCTTGGTCTGCGGAAAGAATCACAGGTGCCTTTGACCCGACAGGTGAAAACACAGTGGCTGGCTGAGCGATCTTACTCCGTGACCGACCAGATCGCTTCGGTCTCAGTGGTTCAAGCGGTTCCCCGGCAGCGGCCTCAGGAGACGGTTCTCTCACCTCGGCGGAGGAGGGAATAGAGGAAGCACTGGATGTCCCTAGGGATGCCATGGTCGACGAGACAGCCGCCCTCTTTTCTGCGTTCTTCGCTTCCCAGCGCGCCAAGAAGCCGGTCAAAATATCCGTAGAAGGTTCTGCCTGTGCTGGTGCGCTAGACACCTCAGCTTGCGGTACGGCAATTGTCCGGCCACGCCATGCCTTCTGGATAGTAACGGCAGCCCTCTGTTGTCTCATCAAACCTCTTCGTACAAAACATCCTCTCCAAAGGGCTTGTATGGTTGTAGCGGCCAGAATCTGCTGCCTCAGCTCATTCGCGGCAAGCTGTGACGCAGCCAGCTCCTGACGAGCGAGATACGCCCGGAAACAGGTCTGAATACGCGTCGCCGCCTGATTTTGTGTCTCTGCATTTTCTTGCATCTCATCCGCTTCGTGCTCCGGCTCCGAGGTAGACTCGGGCAACGTGAATCGCAACGGACTTCCTCGCATGGCAGCCGTAAGATCATCTGTGCGGTCCATGCTTTTCCTCTTTCGTCGCTCCACACTCCCAGGCGCCTCCAAAAAAAGCAATCCAGCTTCCTCATCCCCATCCATACCCATTGCATCTCCTGTGGCTAACTTGGCATCCTCCTCATCCCGTCGCGCCTGCTCCAGGTCATTCTCCACTTCGCGCTGCATCTGCGCATTCTTCGTAGCATATAAGTAACTTTGTCTACGCGATTTTCGTCGTCCATTGCGTGATGCTGAAGGCGCAGGCTCTTTTGGCGGTGCCGTTGGACTTCCGGACGCGTCTTCAACTTCTGGGATCGGCTCAGAACTAAGCAGATTGTTCACTTCGCCCAACACACCTGCAGATCTTCTAAATGCTGCGCGAATCATCGGAGTCTTCGCTTCGTGCATCGGCGTCTTTGCCTCGAAGGTTGCTGACCGTCGCTCGACTGTCGAGGGCGTACCGAAGCTGATTTTCGCGGCGGCGGTGAGAACGGCATTTTCGTTCGCGTAAGTGGGCGACTTGCGCTTTCGTGTTGGAGTCTTGAGGCTGTCCATTAGCTATACTGAACGTCCGTCTTGGTGGTGATGAAGTTCGTATTTGCTGCTCTCTCAGACCGCTGCAATCGCATCGCGCAGGTAAACAAACACCCTGGACGGGTTTGGTCAGGCACGACAACAACTACCCATACCTGAATGGAAATAAGATATAACGACTTCGAAACTTTCTTTTATACCTCATTTCTTGAACGTTTTTGACCCTTTAAATGAGCAAGTCTCTCCTCGAACCCTCTCTGCAATCAACCGCTCCGTGGGTCCGAATTCACCTTCGAAACTCTAAAGTACGCCTATCGGACCCCACATTTCAGAGGTCAGACGACAATTGACCTGATTCACGAACTTTGAGCAGACAGTTACCATGTCTCTTGCGGATAGATTCGCCCAGTACGGAGCTTGTGACGTAAGCGACTCGTCCGTGCGGAATGGATCAGCCCTCTTACAGGGAGTATCTAGGTCTCCGACGCTTTGCTGAAGCTGAAAGTACCGAATGCCGGACTTCTTCCTGATATCGTGATGTTTTCGCCTGAGAGACAAGCAGGCTCAACTAAAATCGTAGGGGAGGCCTACACGGTGAAGGTACTTTTAAGGCTCCCGGAAACCCAGATGTCGAAACGTACTTATATTTCCCGATAGATGGTGTCGAAAGAAGAAACTGATGCGCCGAAGCTGAATATTCCAGGACACTATGTGCGAAATCTTTGATTCGTTCACGTGGACTGTGCTGATGAGGATGCCCTTAGATTGACACGGTACCCGCCAACTCAGTCCTCTTCATCTCAGCTCCTCGCAACCAAGTAAACGCAGCATTCGGTGGCATCATGGGTGCACGAGCCCAGTATCTCGGTGCGGTAGGTGCAGTCATCGATGGACGGATACGAGATGTCTCCGAGCACCAATCACTCGGTTTCCCTGTGTTCTCACGGGGTACCTCTACTATCGGTACTGGAGACCAGTGCAAACCGAGTGAACTTGATGTTCCGCTGTGTTTGAACGCGTCCGGGAGTAACGGAAAGGATGTGTGGATTAACCCCGGAGACGTGATTGTCGCTGATTTGGATGGGGTAGTGTGTTGTCCGAAGGAGAAGTGAGTGTGGCCCATTCCCAAGTCCGCCCATTCATGTACTGACGGGTGTGTAGGGTTGAAGAAGTTCTGGAACTGATGCCGAAGCTTACGGCAGCAGATAATAAGGTGATGGAGGATGTTAAGAATGGAATGAGTGTTGCTGAGGCGTTCAAGAGGCATCGCGGGAAGCTATGAGGACGGATACTGATCGGGCGGCGTTTATTATGGCTCACTACCCCGTTGATAGCTCGACGGTCCAGGCAGATGCTGGTAGCGAAGAAGAATAACAATAACTTTCCTCTACCCCCCCCCGCCCCCAAAGTCCTCCAAAGATGACTTGTACGTCGATCATCTTACTGATACGATACAGCGAGTTCCCAGGTTCGCAAGTCCAGCAGCGGCCCGTACCCCTCCTCGCGGGTCTAGTCAGGGCCAGGAACGAGACTGTTCGATTGTGCGCGGGTGGGTGAGTTACGCGCGCTAGCCCAGTTGATGACGCATCGCCGTATAAGAGCCCCGCTCGCCCTCCGACGGCAACCCTGCTCTCCACTCCCTACCATAACACCCCAACAGACAGTCAATCACATACAATGCAGGTATGGTATATCCATTGAGCTTGATGGACTTCAATTGAGCTCTTGGTCACTTCTGTTTGTTCAGAACGGTCGGCTAACTCGGGTGGCAACAGATCTTCGTCAAGACCCTCACCGGCAAGACCATCACCCTCGAGGTCGAGTCTTCCGACACCATCGACAATGTCAAGTCTAAGATTCAGGACAAGGAGGGTATCCCTCCCGACCAGCAGCGTCTTATCTTCGCTGGAAAGCGTGAGTTTTGCCCCATTGACGCGTTTGTTTTGGCGTGTATGCTAACCTTGGTGGCGACACAGAGCTTGAGGATGGCCGCACCCTCTCCGACTACAACATCCAGAAGGAGTCTACTCTCCACCTTGTGTTGAGGTTGCGTGGTGGTATGCAGATCTTC